GCACAGGTTTAGAAATGCTCAGATCCTCCACCATGTGACTTACAGATCTGCAGACAGTGGGGGGGATGCAGTTTGAGTAATAATTCACAGGATCTCCAGCTGCAGGGGCCTCCCGAACATTCAGAGTAATACCACTTTGTTCGCACCCTACAGTCGTCTGTATGAGTTCCACACACACGCCGCTGCAGCGGCTTACGATTTCCCGCCGAGCCCCTGGAGCTGACCACCCACCTCTTTTTAGCCTTGTTAGGGAACCAAAGGGAAATCATATTTCAAGATGGATACCTTCTCTCTTCATCTGCACTATGCTTATTACTGCATCCAAGAAAGATCAAAGCTACCTAAACTTCCCTCAGAGCTCGCAGCCCCCCTGAAGATTTTTCACAGTACTAGAATAACAAGGTGAACACTGCCTCCACTTTTATCTTCACCTTGCTTAGCAAGTGAGTCATATTTGTCAGAAGTGGGTCTTTTTGGCCAGGAGTGACAGGCTTCTTTTCAAAAATGCACACGGGGGGAGTTAAAAACACAGTGAGACTCGAGTGGGAACACATCTGATGTCATTACTGCTTTTTTATTTGACGTTCAAAGGTGAAAATGTGTGTTTACTCAGTGTCAGGTATTGATTTATGTATCAGATTACCCAGAACGTGCAGCAATAATCAGATGTGACCAGTTTCAAGCAGTGATGCAGCAAGCTAACCCAGGGATCCTCTCCCTCTCGGTCTATCCTGAAACAGCTGTTTGAGCTCTAATTAAAGGGAAGTAGCAGGTGTCACCTGAGCCCCGACTGCAGGGGCACACCTGGTTGCATTAATTTGATCCAAAGTGGTTCTGACGGACCGCCTGCACTCCGGCGTCCCACATTAAGCCACTGGAACTGAGCACCTGCTTGCAAGAGAGGGTGAACACCGTTCGGTGGAGCTACGCCAGGCCGACCGGCCCCGTGTCTTCACAGTGACCCGTGGGAGTTGGTTCAGTCACCCCAGCCTCTGACTCAGTGGCAAACATCTGTAAGCTAGCAGACCCGGGACGCTGACCTGTAGTCATACCGAGGCGAGGGCCGGGTGTGCCCAAGATAATTGTCTGTCGAAGACTCCCAGGGGCCGTAAATGTGACTTGTTTCGGATCTCCTGATGATTTCACAGGACATTTAACTTTACACCTCTCATTTGTTTCCTCCTCAGGGTGTTTCCAAATATCCATTACCAGGTTTCCAGGGAATGTAGCAACCCTTAACCTCCACTGGCTTTTATGTATGCATAAATCGCCTTGGGGATGAATGTGACTCTGCATTTCGAGGCAGTGACATGACATGTGCTTGTGCGTAAGCAAAAGCAAAAACAGCTGACCTTCAAAGGTGAGCAGTAAAAATGCTCAAAAATGAGAAATTACAGATGCAAATCTTTGTCCTTTCTGATTAAATTAACAGCGAGGAATGAAACTGCAGCCGTTTGAATAGGTCGTGCCTCGGGTCATGCTGCACTCTCTGTTGCAACAGTTTCTTTGTGCCACAACAATACATTAATTTCATGAGTCAACAGGCTACGACTGGCAGCTTGTGTTGAGCTAAACAGTGTTTAATTGGATTCCAATCCATGGCAACACCGCCGGAGGCTTGTTTCCATCTTTTATTTCAGCAGCACCTGGAGCGTAATGGCGGTGATTACATCCCTCCTGTGGTGTCCCGGTGGTTTAGCCCTCAAAGGCCCCTGGGAAAACGCCGCTGACTGTCATGGTCCATGTTGCCCTGCTGCCCTGTTTGACAGCTGGAAAACCCCGAGCTGCTGCCGCTGCTGAGATTTTGTCACAGCACTGCTGAGACATGGCCAGGTTCAAAGGGAATCATGATAATGTAAACCAAATGAATTGTTTGCTGCACAAACACCGGCACAGTCAAGGTTCCAAACAACCTATCAACAAGCACTCCCATTTGTAGAGGCATAAAATGAAAGCTGTTTACTTCAGAGCAAATTAGATTTACAAGGAGGGAACTTTTATGACACACAATCAGTTCACTGTTGATGAGAACAAACCAAGCACATAGTTAACATGGTTACAGTAAATGTTGACAAGCTAGCTCACTTTTATTATGGAGGATTATACATGAACTTTTTTATATTCGGAAGAAAAGAGCTGGTCAAACTAGGAATAACTTATAAACAACTTTCATGTGTTGGCCAAGCTATGCTATCCAGCTCTCAACCAAAATCACACAGTTGTTCCCTGCACTGCAGGATCTCCAGCTGCTAAGGAAGAATTAACTACAAGGCAGAAAGTACAAGCAAAGCTAAAGAGCAGATCTTTAGTACACTATAGGTTTAACTGTGCTTTGTTTGGATGCAACTCTTATTCCTGTACAGTAAATTTGGGGTAAGCACTCGTATATAGTTAGCATACCTTGGCAGACAGAAGAGGGGCATTTGTACTGCTTGCATTGTTAACCTAACATCGTCTCCTAAATACACAATACCTTTTTGTTTAGCATTTGATAAAGAAAACAGTAAGTCTAGTTTTAAAGGGAGAATCAGACAATGTCTTTACTAGGTGCACTCACTTTCTGGAGTTTCAGCTGGTTGCCTGGCAATGACTGATTAAATACAGGACACTGCTAGGGGTGAGAATCACTATTGGCCCCACGATACCATATTATCATGATACTGGGCCGCGATAAGATATTATTGCGATTTTAACATTTTGCAATACAGTGAGTATTGCGATAGAATATATAGTGATTTATACAATTTTTGTCATCTGTTAAGCAAGTTTAGCTTTTGTCTTTCCTTTATTTTTGTCTTATTTATGCTGTATTTTATTTTCATGTAGCACATCTTGCAAACCTATATATACATATATGTTTGTTGTTCTAACTTTCTCCTGCTCTATGATGTCACCTCTGCCAACCTCACTGGACAAACAGTTGATTTTATTTTTCCATTACCATAGATTTGACTTCATTTTAACAATCAATTTGAAAAATCGATACTTGGTTAATGAGATGATACAACATATCACCAGACAAAATATCTTTTGTCTCCCACCCCTAGACTCTACAATATAAATTTGTGATAACTGACAAAGCCTTTATTTGAACATTTGATTTGTTTCATTAATAAACCACCTTTTAAAGCTCGGATTATCACGTATGAAGTGCATCAAGAGAATTACGTTCTCCCGCCTGCCATTTTTCTGCTTCCTAAAACGCTAAGAAAGCAGATATGAGGATTTAAAAAATGTAGAGGATTGAAAAAAGAAGTCATGCATATTTTAAATATAAAATAACACACACCATTTAAAAAAGGAGTCTTTCAGTATTTTCAGAGTGACACCAGCTAACGAGGCCCTGAGAGGAACTCATCGAGCAATCACGCTCCCCATCCATGTAAATCACAGAAAGGTCACTGACCCCTGCCGATTGAGAGTTGGTAGGATGGCCTGCACATGAAGTCTGTGCTGACAGCTGGGGAGCAACAACATCACTGGGTCTCTGACCTTCAGTGTAGCCCCTCACCATCTTACAACCACAGATTCAGACGTATGTGAATAATACATTGTTTTCTCCTGCTGGGACCAAGACTCATACATGCACATGCACGCTAACAGCATACACATGCAAGGTTTGTCTCCAACAGCATAGTGTACAGGACTGAACACACTTTGTTTGTATGGCTTCCTGTATTTTACAGCACAAGTGTACAGGGATCTGTGAAATTCAATCCAAGTTTCTGTGTGTTTTCCATTCATCAACATTAATTCTAATTTTGTCTTTTTCCATTCTGTTTTTTTTTTCTCTTAATTTCTGGTCAAGTTCAAAAATATGGTTTAGCAAAAGAGAAAGTTCTGTCATCTCTTTTACATTAAATCTGTAATTCACTTTTTACTCTAGTCCCTTTATTCCAAAGCAATAACACGGGCCTAAAAGAGGAAAAAACAAGACTCTCTAGTTTTGGCCTCTGCAGTAAATTCTCTCCTTCATGCTAGTAAGAGAACAAAAGATCGAGCCAAAAGTATTGTGCTCTTTGCACAGCGAGAAGAACAGAAATGCATGAAACATTTCAAAATCCCCTGTGATTCCCCAGAAAGGCGGGCTGTGTCTCTCTTGTTTCCATCTGCTTTACATACAGGAACAGCGCTGCAGTTTGCACTGAGATTATTTGAATTTCATAGAGTGTTTGACATTTGATAATAGTGCTGTGTGTTGATAGATTCTAGACTTCCCTTCTGCACGTTTCCTATCGTGTTTGTTCAGGTTTCCCACCCCCCAAAAAAGCAATTGAATACGAAAAACTCAAATATCTCTGTGTGACATCAAAATGACAAACCCAATTATTGTTTTAGCTTTGCCTGAGCAGATACATATCAATCAGCTTTTTCGAGGAATATCTATATTTGCATAAAACATTCTGAGAAGCAGGTGTGCTGAAAGAAGGCGAAAACAAATGTTTGTGTAACAACTGCACTGTAATTGATTATGATGGAAGAATTGTTGTCTCAGGCCGTATAATGACTGGATGTTGTTCACCTGTTTAGATAGAATTATTTTCTATTGAACCTCTGGTGTATGTAAATGAGGCTGTGCAGTCACAGGAGCGATGTTTCATGATAATTGACTGAGCTTCATGACAGAGTGTTGTTCAGGTAGAAGTGTGAGTGTTTGTGGACAGATGGGACAGAGCTGAGTGTGGGAGGTGTGCTCACTGTTGTATTCACACAACGTATGAAAAACAGATGCATTTGAAGGATACAGCGTTGCTTCATTAAAGGACGTACAGATGTTACCACCCTCTACTGGGGCTCGGTGTGAATGCAGATTAAACATTCCTGAATAAGATACACTCACACTCAACTCTTAGATATTCTTGATTTTTTATTTTAATTTCAAGGGTGATTTTTTTTATCATACTTTTGTCCCATTTTAGAAAGATTTTTTGGTCCATTTTCAACCCGACACCGTGAACGTAGCGCGGAACTGTTGCTCACTGGTACCGGAGTTTCTCTCCGGTATGTTTTTGTTGTCCCACAGAGAGTTAAATGAAAGCGGTCGCGGTATTAACAGTGATTTGTTCGTAATAATGTTGGAATATCGGTGAAACTGTAATGGTAACAGGTATGTACAGTACTCTAGTGCTTTGTCCAGCCTAAGGTAGCGGTGTTTGAATGTGTGTCGGTCAGACATGGTGAGATTTATCGGTATTTGGCAGCAGGCTTGTGTAAATGAACACATGGCAGAAACACATGTGACTTTACTGACAGAGGGAGACTCTAAATTTGTATCTTCCTAAAATATACAGAAAAGTACATTATCTATGTGGATTTTATTATCGTACGTTCATCTTACGGACTAACAAATACGGACAATTAAAAAGCTTCCTGTTAAATAGTGGAGAGAGACCTGATATTCAATTGCATTATTTTCATGTGTTCATGAAACGACTGGTTGGTGTGCATGTAAAGCAATCTATTTTAACATATTCCCAGTGTTAGTAGCCAAAGTTGTTATGATCCAGCTGTGCAGCGACAAAGCAGACATCTCTGCATCTGTTCTGATCATCACTTAGTCAGTATATGGTAGACTGAAATGACACAGAATTGCAATTCCTGTGCTTTTATATTATCACACTGTTAACTTAATAAAGATGAGGCTTTTTAAGAGGAGGTTCTTACTATTTACTCGATACCCACATTTGACAAATGTCAACAACTTCAATAGTCAAATGTTACTCAGATTAATGAGCTGATTTTGCTTTCATTTACATCAGACTGATGGTTGTGTTGCATCAGTCTGATGCCTTAGGGGGAATGCCTGAGGCATGAAGCACGTAATGCAATTATTCAATTTGGTTGTCTTCAGACTGTCTTCGGGTTCATAAGACTCCGGATCTTGACTTTAATGAATCAGGTGCTCAGAGTTTGCTGCCTTGTACATCTGTAGCTCCACAGAACATCGAAACACTCATCTAAGAGGCCTTGTCATCGTTGTTTTCTTCCGCTTATCCGGGGGGGCAGCTTCAGGAGGGAAGCCCAGACGGCCCTCTCCCCAGCCACTTCCACCAGCTCCTCCGGGGGGGATTCCCAGGCGCTCCCAGGCCAGGAGAGAGATATAATCCCTCCACCTGGTCCTGGGCTGGCCATGAGGTCTCCTCCCGGTGGGACATGTCTGGAACAACTCGAGCAGGAGGCGTCCAGAAGGCATCCTAACCAGATGCCCAAGCCACCTCAGCTAAATCCTTTTGACGTGGAGGAGAAGCGGTTCCACTCTGAGCGCCTCCCGAGTGTCCAGGCTCCTTACCCTATCTCTGAGGCTGAGCCACCCTGCGAAGAAAACCCATTTCGGCCGCTTGTATCCGCGATCTCATTCTTTCAGTCATTACCCAAAGTTCATGACCATAAGTGAGGGTGGGCATGTAGATCGACCGGTAAATTGAGAGTCTTGCCTACGGCTCAGCTCTTTCTTCACCATGACAGATCAGTTAAGCGTCCTCATCACTGCTGACGCTGCTCCGATCCACCTGTCGGTCTCCCGCTCCATCCTACCCTAACTCATGAACAAGATCCCGAGATACTTGAACTCCTCCACTTGAGGCAGGACCTCCCCTCCGACCCGAAGAAGGCAATCTACTTTTTTTGACTGAGGACCATAGTCTCGGACTTGGAGGTGCTGATTCGCGTTCCAGTCGCTTCACACTCGGCCCCAAATCAAGGCATAGTTTCAGAAACCAGGCATCTCATTATGTCTTCACATGCTTGTTTTGAATGTGTATGAGTTTGTTACACTCTAGCGTAGACAATATGCACTGTGTGTGTTGGTGTATTCACTGCCGGCCTCTGTCTTTGAGACATAGTGAAAAGTTGAAGCATTCCATTAACACTATTACTTGAAATCAGAGGACCTTAACTAGTCTGTCACTGTCTGTCTCACAGCATAAACACCATCTCAGCAATGGCTGCTCTGTGGACAAAGATATCCGCTGTCCTGCCCCCAAGTGAGGAGCAGTTTCCACTTCAGTTCAGTGACAAAGTGGAGTCCAGCGTGGTGGAAATGCTGAGACGATCCAGGCAGCAGCTTTATGTGCACACCACAAAAAACAGCCAGATACTTAATGCTCAGATTATTCTGGATTTTTCATGGGAGAAACTCAACATGGGAACATGGCGTGATGTGGACAAAGAATGGAGACGTGTTTATTCTTATGGCTGCCTGTTCAAAGCGGCTGCTCTGTGCCAGGAGGATCCGTCTGCAGAGGAGATCCTGCTGGCTGTAAAGACTTGTGACATGGGATTACTCATGGGTGCAGCCATCATGGAAGATATACTTCAGGTGATTGTTCGGATCCTGCAGGGTGAAGTCAGGAAATCAGCAAAAGAAGAAAAGGAAAGGGAGTATCCTCAGGTCAAGGTATGCGGGTTTTAAACAGCTTTTTCACTTTAGTTTCTTGTCCTCCTACCATTCATAAAGCTTGTAAATTTTGTCTTCTAGCAAATGTTTTGTCAAAGGTACAAAAAATCTGAATAGTAAGTAGTTTTCTTAAAAGAAGTCCTGCACTTTAGCTTTTATTTTAGTGCCCTCTTGGTGCGTTTTTGCTTAATAACAGGGATACTCAGGTACTCATGAAAACTTTCACAGAAAGGTTTAATTTGGACATCTTAAAGCAGCTGTTATCCTTTAATCTGACAGTCTGGTATCTTCTTAATAAACCATGTGATCAGTTTTATGTGTGTCAGAGAGTTGCTTGCATGTGATTTCATTTGTTAGTGCTCTTCAACCATTCATTTTATCTTTAACATATGATCACAGACAGCGGTTTCTCCTGTTACTTTCCTCAGAGTGAGCAGTCCTCGCACAGAATTTAACAGCAAATGCACCTGTGTTATTTTTGTAATCTTAACAGAGAAGTAAATTCGAACCCCCACGAGTTCCTGTTATTAAGGAGGAGCAGGCTGTTCCCAGAATCAGGTGTCCTTCACTGGAGAGCTTCAATACCAACTACCTGCTCCCCCTCAGACCAGTGATTTTAGAGGGGATCATCGACCACTGGCCTGCCCTCAACCAAAGACCCTGGAGGTGTGCTTGTTCACTTAAAAGAATATGTATATTTTTGTCCGTCCCTCTCAACTGTGAACTCCTTTAAACCTTTTTTTCAATTAAATGTATTTTTTTGTATTGAACCAAATATAAACAACAATTATATTTGTACGCTTTACAAAATAGTCTAGACTCTTTTGACTGTTTATTTAAAGAGACTCAAAAACTGATCGAATGTTAGACATTTTTTTGGCCACAGCAGTGACTGTTGACTTCCTTTAAATAGGAAGAAAGCTCAAGCACAACCAGACTCATTAGTAGACAGCCACCTGCCTCAACATTTTGCATTATCAGCATGTTATAGGTGGGGTGGGCAGGATCTAAGGAAGTGCCAGTTTTTGGGAGAAATCTTGAATGTAAACAATACCCCTTCCAACCAGTTTTCCCCTCAGCTCCTCCCTCTCTGCTTCAGCAAGCCCCGCCCACAAACAGACACTCCTGCTCGCTCGTATCGTTCCAATTAAATTCAGATATAATGCAGATAAATACTTCAGATATTTACAAATGAGGCCCAGTCAACGTGAATGTAAAATGCATTGGTGTGACTGTAGATGCCAACAGTCTACCAGCAAACACAATGTTTGCAGCACTTCTACTACTAGGATAAAGTGACATAGTCCAGGATCCAAGTTAAACAGTTTAGTGGCGCGACAACACACAGCAGGTCTTGTTTGACAAGAAGCACTTCTGTTACAGACACTTGGCTTAACAAAGCGGTTTACCTCTTCAGCAGAAAGGTTACAGGGTCCATAAGATCTCAAAGTGTTCACTGATGTTGACCGGGCTTTTTAGTTCTTGTCCGGGTGGTCTACCTCCTTTTTACACGCCTGTTATTCTGCAAGAGTCTCTGATATTTACTTCATTTTCTGGCTTGTGTTGGCAGTCTTAGCCAAAGGAGGATTCAGACAATTTTCTGTACTTTCTGGTTGGTTTCTACTGTCTGATATTGTAGCACGCTAACTTTGTTTGGGCTCGTGAACGACACAGGGGAGCAGCATCTGCCTCACAACCAATCAGGTTGGGGGAGGCGGAGAATGGCTTTGTTTACAGTCAGAAAGAGCGGAGCGCTCTGAAATTTTAAAATGTTGACTACACAGACATAAAACACAGCGATTTTGTTATGTGACCAAAGATCATAGATAACTAATAGCTATTGACTGATATTAAAAGCTTTTTTGTATGTACACCACAAAAAAAGATGCTTCTTTAACGGATTCCCTCCTACTTAACTTAAAGCACAGCAGGACAAACTCAACCAAGAGGTCATTCAGATCTGATACTAACGCGCCTCTTGGGTTTTCCAGTCATTATTACGTCTCTCTAAATATATATCCAGTGACCACTGATGGTTGGATCTCACCTTTCCATCTGCATCCAAATAAACACAGAGTGAAGTGATAATGTGGTTGAAAACTTTGTTGGATCACTGAAAACCACTCTGCAGACTAAAGTCTCTGTTGGAAAGAGATCTGTGTGATTAATGCACAGATCCTCTTGATTGAACCGATCAGAGTGTTTTAAAACTAAGATAACGCATGAAATCATTTATCATGGTAGGCTGGATGCGGGAAAACAGGGACAGCCTTTGTGTGTTATTGAATGGATGACAGAGCATGACAAACACACAGACAGAGCCATGTTGTTTTTGGTCTAAATATCATGTATGTCTTTGCTGTTTTAGTATAAAACCTATTAATATATATTTTTAAACACATCTCTGATCGGCACTATCCCACCCTCTTAAAGGTTGATGAGGACTCTATGTACTTGTATTTTCATGCGAAGTCCTCTCTAATGTAGAAACTCTTTATTCATGTGTTGGAATGACATGGTGAGTGAATTACAGGGAGAGTGGGCGGTTTTTAATAGTGGTGCAACGGATCACAAAACTCACGGATCGGATCGTTCCTCGGATCAAGAGTCACGGATCGGATCATTTTTCGGATCAGCAAAAAGAAAAAAAACAAGACAAATAAAATATATAAAAGTAGTGCACAGGGCATAATATCTTCTTTTTAACATAATTATTGATGAAAAACAACTTAAAGTGCAATATACAGGCATATCTCCTTCCTTTAAAATGTAACAATGAACCAAAAATGAAGTGTGTGCGCGATGGGATGTCGTAACGTGGCTCAAGCACTTTCAGCATGTTTTTAAAGCCCTCGTTTTGCACAACTGAATACGGCCTCATGTCTGCAGCTATAAACACACCGATAGAGTTTGTGAAAGCTTTAGCCTGGTCGGATTGCGCAGGAAGAGGCTGCTTAAATACTGCGGTGATGAGCGGTTGTTGGGCAGCTTTCGTTTTAGCTCAGGTGTTATGCCAAAGAATGCACCCCTGCCGTATAGTGCACCCCCTAACGGGAGCGCGGTTGAAAGTACATAACAAGGCGAAATAATACAAGTTTTCCTTACGTTGGATGTATTCAACAGCGTTTGCCTTTAATAATTTCATTCAGGCTATTCATATCAAATATGAGATCATTATCTCCACTTTAAGAAGCTAACGGGTGGAGGGGATGCAGGGGGTGCGTTCTACGGCAGGGGTGCAATCTACGGCACAACACCTGTCAGTAAAACACCCGGGTGATGTCGCTTCAAATGCGTGAACATGCTCGATGTGTTTCCACTGTCATATGGCTTTCTTATGCCACAGTGCCTACACTCCGTCGCAGTTTTGTACACTGACCTCTTTCCTTCTTCATCATAATTGACAGGGAAGCCAAAATGCTCCCATACAGGGGATTTAAGTGTCGCGGGGCGTTCGAGCTCCTCCTTTCTCCGCTTTCAGAAATCGATCCGCGGATCACATGTGTGCCGAACCGAATACGTCGATCCGAACGGATCACGGATCAATGATGATCCGTTGCACCACTAGTTTTTAATGTGGCCCAGGATACAAGAGCATGCACACTGCCAGACCAAAGTAAACAAATGTGTCCTGACTAAATCTGTCCTCGTGCCATTCGGGTGTGTTTAAACCTAAAGTTCAGGCTGTGATCTGATCACTTCGGTGGGATGTTGAGGCGCTAACGGGGCCAAAAAGCCATCTCTGTCTATAAGCTCTGATTTCACAGCTTCAGTATTAGCATTTACATCAGTAGTCTGACTCTATAACCCCACTCATGATCAGGCACTGTGATGGGAAATGGAAGTTTCAGTCTTTAAATGCATTTAGATGTGGGTAGGTATTAACATTATGAACTGAGTTTTGTTTAGTTTACTTGTCACAACATCCCTGCCTCTAATGTCAGACACCAGCGTCTGATTTAACCGCCTCTCCATTTAAGAATCTCCTTCACTGTCCTCCCTCTTACTGCCGACTGCCGACAGCTGACTATTCACTCTGACATCTGACACACGGCTCCTGGCATCGTGCTCTGATTGTGGAGGAGGACATCCACAAGTGCATACCTGACATATTTTGAAGCCGAGCTAGAATCCTAAATAACCAAATGATTGTTTGAGTGAATCGCTAAAATGTTTTATTCATTGATTCCCTTCTTTCCTGCAAAGCATAGAATACTTGAGGTCTGTGGCTGGCTGTAGGACTGTTCCTGTTGAGGTGGGATCCAGGTACACGGATGAAGAATGGTCTCAAACATTACTAACCGTCAATGAATACATCGATCGATACATTGAACATAAAGTAAATATCTTCCTTCTGCTTTGATGACATGGAAAAAGTAAGATCTGACACCTTTTTATGGCTTTAAAACACTGTGTTGTTTTTGTTTTGTCACCATCCAGGATGGAGGAAAAGCCGTGGGTTATCTCGCTCAACACCAGCTTTTCGATCAGGTGTGAAACCATTTTTGTTGACTTTTGAATTTTGCTGTATATATAACCATAATTATTTATGTTTTCAGTTCCCTAATTGATTTCTAAGATTGTATTTTTCATCATGGTGAAGTGTAGATCCTCCTTTTTGCCATCTTTCATCCTCACACATTACTTTGAAAAGTTTGACTTTTTGTCCCGATGCTTATGTCAATATGTTGCCACTCGTGAACTTTACAAAAAGGGCACCTCATCAAAATTAAAGCTGGGTGTTTTAGACTGTCGAATGAATTAGAATGAGGAGGTGACATGGCGCACATCAGTCATCTAGATGTTTCACACCACATCCTGAATGATTGAGGAAGAACCTCCTTTAAGCTGTGTATTTACTCTAAGCTATGAGCCTTTCTTTACTCGCCATATTATCAAATAAAGAGGCATGCTTCATCTTTACATGATAATATTCAGTGCATCCTGACACAGCTTTTTTACTTCCAATACGATACAGATATTGCTTTCAATATTGACCGATATTGATCCGATATTGGCACAATAATGTCTATGACAAGTTTTTCAATCAGCTGCAATGTCTTTTCTCGGACTTAAACAAAAAACACTGCCATACAGCCGACATCACTCCAACTCTTAGTTACTTTGTTAGTACTTTAGTACACACTATTATTGTGATTATGTGGGCTCAGCTTGCTGGATCAGGGCGCTGCGAGATAGAGGTGATGGAGTGGAGTCTGGAATGGACTGCTTGTATCAGTGCTGATAATACAGAGATTTTAGATGCAGGCCGATATAATCCGATTTTCATTTTTTTGCTGATATCAATATCATATCAGGACAGCCCTACTCTCAATCTGTGAGAATATGTATGTCAGACCCTGCAGGTTCTTTGGTGGTGAATTTGGTTTTATACAAATGGATAAAACAAAAATATAACAACGGTTCCTAAATATGGGTGATGTTGATCCCTGCGTGGCCCTCTCATGTATCACCTATGTATGGAAAACACTGTTGTACAGGGTATCTGCTGAGTCTTAGAAAGTCTTAAAACACCTAAAATCCAATCATTTGAATTACAGGCCTTAAATACAATTTTGAAAGGTCTCAAAAATGTGTTGATGTTACTTACAAATAAATAATGTGCATAGAAATAAAGATTGATTTTAAGTAATGTGAAATATTCCGGTTTCTCTTCATGTCTTTTGTACTTTTTTTTGCCAATATGGATGTTAAATGGGTCTTAAATTGTTTTCGTTATGGTCTTAAAAAGTCTCGAATTTGACTTGTGGAAACCTGTTACAGTTTAATTAAGAGGTTTTTAACTAAAAGGCTAAATGTGTGCATCTCCAAAGCCTGTACACATATCCTCTGGGACCATGAATATCTGCACCAAATTTCATAACAGTATATGTAGTATGTGTTGAGATATGTGCGTTGAATCAAGGAGGAAAAGAGACTGATAGATAGGCTGATACTGTACCTCGAGCTGTGTTTCTGCTTCGAATTCTTCAAATACCACAAACAAGAGGGAGATAAATGAACGTTTCCAGCTGCTATAGTCTGCAGATGATCTAAGGAAAAACAAGATGTAATGAAATTAGTGTGGTTAATCTCTGTAATATGATTTTGCTCCTCATGACGTTCCTCCAGATTCCAGAGTTGAAGGAGGACATTCGCCTCCCTGATTATTGTTGCCTCGGCGAAGGAGAAGAAGACAACATCACTGTAAATGCCTGGTTCGGGCCAGGAGGCACAGTGTCTCCTCTTCACCAAGACCCCCAGCAGAACTTCCTCGCTCAGGTGACAAAGCAGCAAGTTTCATGAGTGGAAGATCTGTCACGCCACCATGGTTTATTTGTTTGTTTGTTTGTGTGTTTATTTATTTACAAAACCCGTATATACATCAGGTGGTGGGGAGCAAATACATTCGCCTATATTCCCCTGAGGACTCAGACAAGCTGTACCCCCATCAATCCCAGCTCCTCCACAACACCAGCCAGGTAGGATTGACATTGCATACAGACTGTGCATGTTTGGCCTGCAAATATATGCAGTATGTTCAATGTATGACTCTTTCTGCATGCAGGTTGAGGTGGAGAATCCTGACATGGATCGGTTCCCCAAGTTTGCTGCCACTCCTTATCTTGACTGTGTGTTAAAGCCTGGAGAGGTGCTCTTCATCCCAGTGAAACACTGGCATTATGTGCGCTCCTTAGAGCTCAGCTTCTCTGTCAGCTTCTGGTGGTCATGACTGCTGATGTGTAATAAAAAAATATATATTTATTTTTTTAAAGACTAATACGACTGCAGCGTCTTTCCTGCTGCTATGGGGTTAGGGAATTTAATTTTGAGTTTTACCACTAATGCGATGCTAATTCTCATAAATCTTGTGACAACCAGTGATCACACAAACCTTTGATCCATGAACAATGAACACACACTGCTGAATGATTAGTTTAATTGTGCCGCTGATGAGTGCAGCAAAATCTATTGTGTGGAAAGCTACCCGCAGGAGAAAAAAACAAACAAATGAGCAGTTAAAACTGTGTGTGCTCATTTCATCCTGCATATCATTTACAGAGGGTTGTTAGCTGTCTAATTTGATGGGATGTGTTTCTCTTTTCTAATTGGCTTATTTAATTGTATTCTCAACCTCATACCTACAAATACCCTCACATGTGTGATTTCCATAATTCATGGAAATGAGGCAAGTCTTCAAATTTAATAACTGAGGGAGCCACAGGTACAAAAAATGAGCTGATAAACATGACTCTCTGGTTAAACTGACAGTCTGAGGCAATGAAGCAGGTCACAGATGGAAATTAATAAATTAAATGAATTAATCCCCTGGGCACAGACCGACTTTGAAATGAAAATCGTCTCGCTGGTCGTGTACCACAACAGTGTGACTCATGTCGAGCACCAAAGACACAACACCTGACTGCAAAACCAGCAGCACCTCCTGCCAGACTTCAGACTTATGAGAAACCAGGTCGTGTGAAAGAGAGGTTTGTTTCAGTGGAGAGCATGCTCAGGACTGTGATGTAAGTGAGGACGTGAGAGAGTAAAGGACTCAGCCCTAATGAGTGTATTTAAGCTGGACTTTACCAGAGTAAGAGCAAGCTGAGCTCTGAAGGGAAATCAAGGCAGAAAACTTGTGAGAGGAGGTGAAAATTTATTTATGTTTTCTTATAACTTTAGAGTGTGAAGCAAATTTTATCAGGTTTGTTTAGCTCATTTCTCGTGTTTTAAACTAAAATTAATTTGTCATCCAAATTCTTCCCACTATTTTAAAAAAAGTAAAAACTACATTTAACTAAATTTTCATTAATATAAAATATGCTGGGCTCAAAGCTACGGCGGAATATAAGGGCTACATTAAGAAAAAAAATATTAAGACGTCAAGATTAAAGTCATTAATTTACGAGAATAATGAGAACTAATGAGAATAAAGTTGAAATAAGTACTTACAGGAATAAAGTAATAATAAAAGCATTACTAATGAGAATAAAGTCGTAATAAAATCATTACTTACGAGAATTAATTCGTAATAAAATCATTACTTTTGAGAATAAAGTTGTAATAATGTAATTACTTACAAAATTAAAGTCAGAATAAAGTCCTTATATTCTAACCTGCTGTTTAAGATGACGGTTGTTAAAATGAGAGCCATGGAGTATTTTGTGAAAATGTACTTTAATATCGGTTCCTCGAACAAGGAGATACTTAATCTTTTGGCACATCAGCACCACATAATCACAAGTATCATAATGAGTTTACAAAGACTTTATTCTTGTTAGTGCGTCTTTTTCTTGTAAGGAATTACTTAATTCTTGTAAATTAACCACTTAAATCCCATAGTCTCTCTTTTTTTTTTATGTGGCCCCAATTCTCTGCTGTATAAAGCTCCTGTTAATTTTTTTAGTTTTTTTTGTAATCTGGATTTAGAACAGACAAAAATTAATACTTATGCATCTTTATGAGCTACAAAAGCAAACACAACCATCAGCATAGGGGTTGATTGACTTATACATAGGAACTGTCTGAGACCTTAGGCACAGGGACGATGAGTCTAGCAGTCTGTAAGACCACGAGTCTTAGCTGCATCTCTTCCCCCTCTCCCTGCTCTCTGCATTTTCTGTCTCTCTTCAGCTCTCCTGTTTAATGAAGTCAAAAATTCTCCAAAACTTCCCTTTTTTTAATAAGAGAAAGATTATCTCTAATTTACGTAAAGAAAGGTTCAACGTTTTGTGAACAATGTTGCTTATTTTTTTCAGACAAGATCAGCAAAAAGATCAAATTAGTCTCTTTTTGAATTTAATAAATACTACATGCACTCATAAAGGTATTAAAGCGGTGTAATAGATTTGCTGTCATAAACATTTCCTATGATGGTGCTGCAGGGTCTAGTCGTGGTTCTTTATCACGTTAGGATCTTCAGTCTGATAATAGACCTCTCCAAACTTACTCACTTTCTCTGCAAAGTTGAACTGAATCCTGTGAGTAAATGCTGTGTACTTCTCTTGGCCCATCAGTGCTTTGTCGTTGTCAAGTAAGTGGCACAATTGACTTAAGATCACACAAAACTGCTTACACTCATTATATTGTGATCAATACTCAATTACCAGTGAAGTAATGTGGGACCTCTGGGCTTATAACCCTTTCCCTCCCACCCAGACCCTCTCCTCCTGCTCCTCTTTTGATTAATGGCCGCATGGATTTTTGAATAAATCTGGCAGAAGCAGGATTACATTCAGCAGATTTATCTTGTTTCGTGAGACAGTAAAGTGACTTCTGGATGTACATTTGATACCGTCTTTGAAGTAAACACACAACCTACTTAAATCTGAAGCATAGCGAAGAATAAGTGTGAAGGAGCTGTAAAGGGGTCATTAGGGAAGGTGTGTAGGATCATAAAATTTTATTTGTGTGATTTACAGATCATGAATCGATAAGCACAGCCTCTGTAAATATCCCTGTACATAAGCATTAAATCCAGAATAATCAAACCTTCTAAACCAGAGGGTTTTATTTGCTGTGTGTGTTTAAACTTAAATGTTATTCTATTACCAGGCTCGGTAAATACTTAATGCTGATCGGCCAACAGTTGTGGTTAATGCTAGACAACAAAAACATTGTTAGGGACAACCTGATCACACAAATCAAATCGATAAAGAAAACAGGCATGTTTCATCTCTGCCTGTTGACACTTTGGAAAAAAAAAACATTCATTTCTGTCTCAGGCTGGTTCATAGACTGTATATAGAATGGATGCCGTCAGCCTCCCCGCTGGGTGAAGCCACAGTGAGAACAGCACCCTCTGGTGACAGGCTGCAGTATAGGTCATAAATCCCGCCTCCAACAGAAATCCCTATAGAGTTGTGGACAATATTTAGAAATTATTTACACAGAATATAATTTTTTGTACCCCCACTTGCGATGTTGACATGTAGTTACTGTAAGACTGGTTTGTGTGCAAGTCCTCTTTTTTTCTGTGCAGCTCCATTTTTAAAAGTTATTAGGGGGTTCATGTTTTCTATGATTGACACTTGATACAGCCTATGGGCGTATGAAGATTACATAGCTCACCCGGGAATACGTTGTTTGAGCAAAGCGCAAGTGGTGGAGTGTGTACAATGCTACTGCGCCACTGGTGGTTCCAGGAAGTGGAGAAAATCCCTGAAATACAGAGAGCAATTCGGCTTCAAAGTCGTACAATGACAGAAGGCGGAGCCAAGTTGTCCATAGTATATATAGTCTATGGGCGGGTCTTACAAGTGAAAAAATAATATCAGTTAGCAGCACAGATGTAAGAGGAGTCTGAGGATCTACTGGGCCCAGAACATCTCTGAAAGGAAAACTGGATCCTGCAATCCATGCAACACCAGTGAGAGCGAGTGAGTGCATCTGTGAGGTGCAGATTGCTGCAGGTAACTTAAACCATAGGAGACAGTGTTAAGATTAACAGTGTTTGCTCCATTTCTGTTTAAAAACTTGGCTAAATTAGGACAGAAATGTCAAGATAAATACTCCTGCGAAGGTCCCATAATCCTTGACTGAAGTCTGTAGTAATGTTTAATGGGAATAACAACAAATAAGCAGGATAAATTTTGAAATAGAGCTTGAAGAGTTCATTTGTTTTGGAAAGAGGGCTGACAAGAATCCGATAATGTTACAAGACTTTATACCAGGGGGGACTATTTTTTAACTTTATAAATGAATCTTTGGTTCTCTTTTTGTGTCAGATTTTTCATGTTATGAGTTTGTAGAAAGGTAATAAGTTCAAAGCAGGATGTACTTTATATTGTCCCCTATATAAACTGGTATGTAAGGGAGTTTTAATTAAATCACTTCAGATGCAAAATGTATGAAACTTTATTCATCAAAGATTCACACAATTGTGGAAAAATCATGCAAAATTTACAAAACAGTTAAAAACAATGATTGTCAGGCAATAGTTAGTCGAACATGAGGAAATAATATTACTTTATTTTCTTTCCTCTTCTTTGTCAAAATGCCAATAATTCTGACAAACTATTAACAACTTTAAAAGTTATAGAGTAACAGATGTATAAATTATTTCTAAAAATATGACTTTCCTTATAGACATACTTGAGCTTCAAGCAATGCAGGTAAGTATGAGTTAGTCATGTTTATCATCCAACAGTCAGACCAACAGTTCAACGGTGCAACAACGGTGAAAAATAATGTTAATTATTAACAATGATACTGAGTATTATCAGAGAACCAGGACTGAGAGTGGACAAGGTTCAGTCTGTATGAAAACCATGTCACATGATCAGGTTTTATTCTAAAGGCAGCTTTGTTCTCTTAATGTTGTATGTGTTTTAAAACCTTCAGTGCATTATACATCCTAAAGAGGCTCTATTACAACCTCTCATGACTCTTTCTCTGATGATCTCAGCCTTCATTATCAGGTATGTGTCCAAAAAAGTTCAAATCTTTTACTGCTCCTGCAGCTCTGCAGAGAAGTTCTGCATCCTCTCCACCACGAAGAAACACAGAGTGCCAGAGAAGCCCAGGATGACCATCAGCAGGAGCTGCCACATCAGCAGTAGGTAACCGCTGTAGAAGAACGCCACTGCTGCGAAAACAGACTGGACAATGGGAGATTCATTAAACAAACAACTAAAATATTTGTCAGAAAGTCAGAATTATGCCATTTCCCTCCCTGAAGATGTGCAATAAAGGCAGGACTGCTCTCACTTTGTCTGATACAAGCTTTTGAGGATTTCATTACACAAACCCTGAAGCTGGTTTTTGCTCTTTTTAAAGCTAAATCAAAAGATAAGTGAGTTTTTTATGCTTGAACACAAAAACAATGCACTCTAGTTTGAGTTCAGCTAAGAGAAAACAGCACAAGATCTTGGCTTTATTCCTTTCTCCAGACTTATTTTGCCAAGTGCAAAGGCAGAGATTAAAAGACGTGTAGGTTTTACTCTGTTCCTTTTTAATGAGGCTTCAGGTGAATTGATTTCAAACTTGACAAGACAACATTTAAAGGCTTTGTTCTGCTTTGCTGACACTGTCAGAGAAATTGGCAACACGGGATTACCTGGATGAATTTGAAGATGGCAAAAGCAGGTGTGCTCTGTTCAGCATAAACACGGCCTAATATACTGTACAGCTGTGTGTTGAAACAACTGTCGCCGAGTCCGAGCAGAAAGCTGCACAGCAAGGCGATGGATACGCTGAGGGGGAAAATAAAGGGCTCATTAAAACAGAACAGGATCAGCAGCAGCTTCAAACATATTCTCTTCTTTAGTTTTGCGGGAAATCGACTACCTTGGAGTTAGGTATGGGCTCATTTGGGTGGTGGTTTTAAAAACAACAGGAGCATCACTCGGGATGCTGAGGAATATCAAATAGAAAGCGACAAAATGAACAACCATTCCCAGGAACACCACTGAGGTCCGTCTGAAGCGATTGTTCTTGCACACCAATCCAAACAAACCTCCTCCTGATCAAAAAAAGGACAGGAGAACAGTTATCCCTAACTTAAAATCCCCCAAATACGCTTTGATAGAGAAAACAAACTTACCTACTATTTCTCCAATTCCCACCATAATCCCAGAGATCCCGATCAAGCCTTTCGCTGCTTCTCCAAAGTGAGTAGTCGCCCCAATGCACGTCCCGTACACTCCACTGTAGAAGGATAGCTCCAGGCCTGGAGAACAAGGAGCTCATGCTGTAGCTGGGAGCCGTCACTGGAGGCTAAATACTGATAACATAAATGCATTCTCCACACGACTTACCGCTGTACGCCATGCAGGGGCTCAGGAGCAGTATGGTTTTTGCCTTTAGCAGCTGTAGGATGGTTTCTGAACAGGAGGACAAACACAGTTGAAATGGTATAATCCCTCATTATACACCAAATACAAGTAAATTTTCTAACTTTTGAACTAAGCTCAAATAAAGATGCAAAAACATTTCTTTGTGACAATTGAATCTGAGTTCAGAACGATGATAGAAAAGCAGCCTGCTATTACAAAGCAGGTAGTACAACAAATGAGAAAATTCAGACTTTTCAAAGAAGAAATCACACTAGGTTTGTTTATACATGCTCGGGTTCACCGTCTTCACATAAATCTGTGTGCATCTGCGATAAACCTGATGCCTTTCAAGCACATACACAGATACACAAAAGACAAGGAGTAATCTGATCAGCCGAAGTACTTCAGGCTGAACTGAAGTCTGGGGGAAGTGCAGCCGTGTTTCCAGATGACAAACAGATGTAATCTGAAATAAAAGACGAGCACATGCAGTTTTTTTGTGTTTGGGGTTGTGGCCAGAAGATTTTTCTCCTGATGAAAATTCAACACTTCCTCAGATTTCATACAGTGAAGTGTGCAGAACTGGAGGTTGCCTGTCATGAGGCAGTAAAATGAAGATGACCGTGAGGTTCTGTTTTTACCGTTAAATTTTTGTGTCGAATGATGGTCCTAACAATATCAATGAGTCCAAACAAAGTGAAGCATGGCATTAATTTTATTGCACATGCTTTTTTAGAGGGTAAGATCAAAATGCCAGATCTTTATAATATTAGAGTGACTACCTTTCCACCCCTTTTCTCCTGAGGGGAATCTCTACAGACCTTGTTTATCCCCTGATAATTGGATTAGCAGCGAGTGCAAATTCAAGTTTTTTCACTGTCAAGTATTCTGCATCTACAGGAAAACAGTGGTCTAAAAAAATATTCTAAAAAGCTGATTATAACATCAAGAATAGCATGTAGCTCTTTGGGGAAATCTGGTGTTGCTGGTGCTGAAAGACGCTAACCAAAAGTCCCTCTAATGCCTTTCGTATCATATTTGATACATACTTTTATATACTTCTATCAAATCAATATGATCAACAAATTACTAACAAAAACACCTGAATACAGTCCGATAAGTGATAAAAAGGCCTCTTGTAGTTTATCTGTTTCCAAAAACATCTAATGTATCATGTGATATAAATAGATATATTTGTTTAATTTTAAGGACCTGACTTACGCTGCCCCTGTGCCACGACGTTGGCGAGGCACGAAAATAGAGCCCTTTGACTCCACGGATGAAACTTACTGAATTCTGTCTTTGCGTCCTGCATGGCATTGTTTGCTCTGTGCTTATATCTAGAAAAAAAGACAAACAGACAGCTTTAACTTTCATCAAAAAAGACATTTAGTAATGGAAAAGTGTAAATAAAACAATAACATAAAGAGAAGGACGTGAAGTTGTTTACATCGGCGGTACTTCATCTGCAAAAACATCATAAGTAATTGAGGATATATAAACAGAGAGCTTAGAAAATAGTTTCTTCACAGTAAACAGCAGCTCCCTGTAGGATTCATTGTTGTGCTGTTGGACACTGAAACTCAGACAAAAAACAAGGATCAAATACCTGCAAATGACAGATCCCCAAACACTCTGTAAACACAATCTGCTGCTACAATAACATCAGATAGAGGCTGAGAGAACAGGTTTGTCAAAAGCAAACCTTCTATATGATCCTCTAATTTTAGTCTCAGCGTGATTTTCTCAGAGCTGACAGATTGTTCTGTGCATCACTGCCGTGTCCTGTGTGGTCAGCTTCTTTTCCATAGCTTTATACTCCTTGTGGTTTGAGGTCACATACAAATCTAAATTTGTGTCAAATCATATCAAACTACAGGTTTGAGGATTTAGGGTCTTCTTCCAAATCCCCAAATTTCCCTGATTGTACCTCATTTGTTCAGATGAATCTTGACTTTGTCATAATCACAGTGATTTTGACAAAAGAAGTTTTCATCTTCAAATGACAAAGGTGGTTAGAAAATACTCACTGTGAATGACTAAGTAAAGTCTTTGTAAAACTCTTAAATTTCCTGAATTCTCTAAAATGGTAATTTCTTTAAGACTGGTGAATCTTATAGAAGTTAAATAAATACACTAACATCAGATCACTCATCCACTCTATGTTTATACGTCAATCACAAAACGCTTTCATATATTATCTAACACCCTAATTGATCACTGTAAGCCTTCTTCACATCAATAAAAATTGTGTAATAATCTGAGGGATACTTGCTTACATCATGCGGGTTGAGAGCAGCGACTGCCCTTCCTCTTCAGAGAGCAACTCCTCCTCATGATGACTCTTCCTCAGCACCAGGAAGCTGAGTGTGCCGAGTATGGAGGCGACCATCAGGGACAGGAAATTTTTTTTCCTGCTGCTGTCTGAGAGAGGAAGATTAAATTAAACCCTTTAATTAATAAACAGGAGATATATTAACAACAAAGTGGAGCTCATTTGGAATACACAGTCACTAGTCTAACTCTCTGGGTAGTGCTGACTCATTGTTCACTCTACCTGATATCTCTGTTCTTCCGTTCCAGTCAAAGTAAATGTAAAGATTGCCAAACAGCATGCTGTAAATAAAGAAGAAAACTTCAACTGAGAAAAAAAAACAAATGAATCGTGAATATGACATTCATTTTCACTTTGACAGGCATTTTCTGAGCATTCAGGGCTGCTGGATGAACGTATTTCACCTCAGGTGATCAGACCTTTATGTTTTCACATTTGTCTAAGAATTATGACTTTGGGATAACTTTTTTCCAAAATTACTTTTTGGCCAATTTTTTTAATAGGTAATCCAACAACTCTGACACAAAGCTATTTTGTTATCATTTGGAAGTTTACAACGCTGACACCATGTTCGAAGGCCCCAGACTTCAATTAAAAAGTTATCTTTATCTAATGCAAACAGGTTAATTATACGATATGGACTTGTTCCCATGAGACGACTGGCCCTGAAAGCCGACGGCAAAAATATTCCAGGAAGACAGTAATAATATATCTAATAAAATAGAAGACAAAACATTTTATCAAAGGAAAATAATAATAATAATAATAATAACAATAATAATAATAATAATAATAATAATAATAATAATAATAATAATAATAATAATAATAATAATAATGATGATGAAAAAGAAAAATATTTTACAGGGCAAAAATAATATCTTTAAAAACACTCAAGTATTTTTTGGAAAATACATTAAAAATATGACAATGTACAAATATTTTGGAAAAGCAAGTCAATTTTCAAAACAAAATTTAATGTTTTGGAGATATAAATCAATTTTTACATCATCAAGATATTTTTAAATCACAAAATGCGTTCATGTTCATTATTATTTTCAAAATGTTTGTGTTTCTTTAACATTTTCATGGTTTTTATATTTTATTAAGGTTATTAAAAGTATAGAGACCTGATATGCTATCAACCTTCAGGGCCACCATAGATTACTGCTTTTGGCCCTCAAGTTCTTGTTATAAATGCACAAGATAATCATCCTGGGCACACAATGAAAACAATACTTTTGTATCTTGTGTGTACAAGGCAGTGAGCCTTGTATTACATTGTATTATAAATCATACAATGTAAATAACTTGAACACATGCTATTACTTTCTCATGCACACAACATAACCAGTGTCTTCTATATGTAAGATGGAGACTGAGGTCAAACAGAATGAATGAGAGCGTGAACGTGAACCATGAACTCCACAACACTTAAACATCTTACTGATAACAAATGCTGAACTCAAGACAGGCCTTTAAAAATGCACCAACAAGCTGAAAAAAGTACAAAACACAAATTCAGTAATGAGCAAATACAACAAGAACACAGACCTAAGATCTCAACGTGTGACCCAGCAATTCAAGACACAAATGAGACGAGTAAAAAGTGAAAGAAATGTCACTTTCAAACAAACTTGTTTCTCCGAACTGATGCAGAAGCACTGCTGACCAATCAGACACCAGATAGATCATCAGTCTGCAGAGTAATTATCACACCCTTAATGTAATTTGTTTCACGGCAAGTTTAGTGACTCAGATCTCTGGAGATGGACTCTGGGGCTTTAAAAATCTGACCTTTAATTAAAGAGTTACCATTAAGACAACCACTGTAATTAAAATAAAAACACTGACCCTGCAGTAATGCCACAACAGCTTAATGGGCCAAAAAGGTGTGTAAAAAACTTTTGTTGGACCAAAAATGTAAAAATGTCATCAGGATGCGTCTATCTGCTGTTTAAACTGTTTATTTTCCTTTTATGTCAAACACCGCCGTCCTATTAAACAGTGATCTATTTCTGGCTTTAATTAAATATCACGTAAACTAAGACATGCAGATGAGCAATTAGTCTGTTCCAAATCCTCTGTGAGGGATAACAGGGGTTATTCATAAAGACAACACTAACTGCAGTCTGCATGTGTGTGCGTATGTGCCCGTGTGTGCAGGCTGTGAAGAACTGATTCATAAGTTTACTGTGGCAGGGATCACTGCTGCAGAGTCAGATTAGCATTGCCCTATTGTGAGCTTTGGCGCAGGTGACAGCCAATGTAATTATTATACTAAAACAATTTGCATATTTTAACAAATACAAATTAGTTGTACCAGCCAGTGTGCATGAGCAGGGAGCCAAAAACAAGAGAGAAAAAGGCCCAAACCCTCACCTGCAGCTCTGCTTTTAGAAGCTTGAATACTGTTGTACTTTTTACGGGATGTGACCACTTGTAACATGATTTATTTAGCATATTTTTCAATAAGGCTTAGAGCAATTTCCTGTCAGGTAAAAACATAGACACAGATATTCTGGCTGCTGGAGCGTAAGTTTTTCAGTTTTGTGCAGTTGTGTTGTTTTATGCATTAAATACAATAATGATGAGAAGAAATCTTATGATGCCTAACAAATTAATAGGAACCTTGGATTAAGTTAGAGAGCGATTTAGGAGGATTTTCTGATTTTCAGAATGAAAGGGAATATTTAATTCACTCAAGGCTAGAGAGAATCACATCATTATAATCAGATTATTAAAATGTGACTAGTATAAAATGAACCTTGAAATTTCAAATGAAGTAATGCATCGAGGTAATGGTATCAGAGCTGAATCTATTAGCGCCGAAGACACTCATACCTGCACTGTAAGAGAGCCCAGAACATGCCTGTGTTCCTGTTGATGGTGGAAGCCTCTGAGTTTTCCACCAGAAAGTGCCCTTGAGCTGTCCAGAGCACTGCAGGAAAGAGAGGTCATTTGAGGAGAAAAAATAAAACCAGTCAGTTAATTACCAGCATGAAGCGAGAAATTATCTTTCTGTGATGGTTAGTAATGCGTCTAACCGCACAGAAGCCCCAGGACATGATAAGAATTCATCACGCCGCACTGATTCAAGGCTGATTTAAAAAGCTGCCCTGAATCATGTTCTTCATTTTCTCGACTAAAAGCTCAATGGAGGGCTGCTTTTTTACAAACATCTATGAATAAGCTTAGAGAAACAGCTTCAAACCCATTTATAAGGTCTAATTTGGGATATGCTGTTTGTGTGTAACAACGCATTCCAGTCACGATAATCCTTGTCTGCCTGATTAAACATCATTTGGGTTTTAAGAGAGAAACGGTACTTAGATATGCTGCAAAAACAAAGAGGACGCAGCTTCTAGCTCCACTGTTTTGGGCCTGTTGTTTTGACACTTAACCACACTCCAGTGACGATCAGAATTTGCTTCTATAATACTTAATCCACCAAAACAAAAACAAAAAAATATGCATAAACTCTAAATAAAAACTGGCACATACACTGTCTATAAAACCAGAGCAGGTAGATTACGTAAGTGACCAAAAATGACAGCTCATTGTTTTCTGGACAGATAACTGACTGTTTTCCTGTTTGAGGCTCAAAATGTCAAGGAAGTGCAGTTTTTTTTTTTTTTGCCACTTCCCCATTATCTTCTTTTTTTAACACTGGAGGTTACGGCTTGGTATAAATGCACAAATATTCAGTATGAAGTTGCGGTAAAATCTGTGAGCTACATTGAGTATCATTTTGAAATAAGTACTGAGAAAATAAACAATGATTACAGTCCATAAATGAAATGATAGACAACTGAAAAATAAGCACTTAAAATCATTCAATGATATATATTTGAAAATCATTTAATCTTCACTTTTATTAGAGAGCATCTTAAAGAGCCTTTTCAAGTTATGACTTTCTCAAGTGGCCTGTTTGCTTTTAACAGACTTAAATGTGGGTTAAACCTGTATGGGAAAAGCTGATTTTATACCTGGGTTTACAGACTCTTTCATCAGAAATAAACTTACTGGCTGCTCCGATGCCAATGAGCACAGAGGTGAAGTAAAAGGACCATGTGGAGGGGATGATGAACACAGCAGTGTACCCACTGGACAGAAGACATGTAGAGTGTGTCAGGTTAAATGTTGCAGCTTCTTAATTTCTTTCAACATTTTTATTTTAAATCTATCAAAATAAAGTTTACCTGTAAAGTATACCACTCAGGAACATGGTAAGTCTGGGGCCAATTACTGCGACCACTGTTGGAGCGAGTAAATTAGAGATGGAAAAGACCCCATAGATGATTCCAAGACTGTGAAAGAGACAATGACCAAATTATCATTATTATTCTGATTATTACAACTTACAAACGAGTCTTTTCTAGTGATTTTTTTCACTTAACACTTTGCAGTTAAACCTGCGTGACCCACCTGTGGTACCCACTTCCACTAAAAGTGCTATTTTCCAGACTCTTCACCACAGTTTGCTGAAAAAGAGGAAAGAAAAACTCTGAAGCACATGCTCGACAAAGTAGGTCATAATTGCGTCCTCAAGGCATTCATCCGGATTGATAACTTCACTGACCATTGAGGAGAATTAGAAACACGAGATGCCCACAAGTACTACTCTGATTGGCCTGTTTCTTACCGCCTGAAGGACATCTACTTGGAATTTTTGAGATCAGATATTCAGATTAAAAAACATGTGTTCATAAATCATGAATTTCCCACACTCAGATAGAGTTATGATCAAAAAGAGTTATGCATACATTCATGGGTCAAAGTAACTCTGCAGATGTTACTGTGATAACTTTAGATTGGACATAAAGGTTGCAGTTGTGATTGTCAATGACAGAGATTTTGCTCAATCCGGTACAAAAATTAAAAAGCGTCTTCTCCTTTTGTAAAACAGCACATGGAATTTAAACTCAGGTCATGTTATTAATGGGTATAAACTCTTAATAATAAAGTTTGTTTTCTTACTTCAATGTTTCCCGTGGTCGTGAAGGCGGTAAAAATGAACAAAAATCCCAAACCCAAAATCACAACGTTGAAAGTCCTGAAATCTGCCATGACGTTTTCTCGGTCCGTCCTTAAATATTCATTTTTCCTTATGTTGACGATGAGCGAAGACTAACTTATGTCGCCTCGTTTGAACTACACATGAAAACAACCCTGTAAGACGGACTCGGACAATTTCATGGTAACAAAGTCACGGCACTAAAGTTGACAGTAAAGTTACAGTTTAATGCGCAAACAGCAGGAAAAGCAGTCAGAGGTGTAGTGGAGAGCACGGGGCACAGATAGTAACAGTGCAGCACTGTAATAAGAGCACTTCCCTCCTATCATACCAAGTACGCATGACAACTTGTGACTTTTATTAGGACCAATTTTTGCGGTCTTCCTTTCTCTTCTTCTTCGTCATGCTTGTCCTCATCATCTCCTCTCCTGCAGCTTCTTCTTCTTCTCCGGCGCTTTGTAGTCATTTAGCTCCACACTCATTTAGCTTTGCTGCCTTCCAGAGGTTACTAAGAGGATTATCCCTTCTAAAACTCCCTCCTTCACCTGGGAGACTTTTTAATTACTTACTTCACTGCAAAAGGTGAAAGGATAAGAAAGTGCATTTATCTCATAGTAATCTAAGCTCCATAGTAAAGGCCTGCATGCTTACATTAAGATCAACCATCTCATCTTTTTAAACCACTTTGCCCCTTATCTGTGATTTTACTCATAATGTGTTTTTAATCAGTTTCAATCTTGCAGATAGGATGTTATTCTAGGAGAGGCTCATGATAGTTTAGATAGCCTACTGTACGTCACATGCCTGCTGCTCCCATGTGATCTAAAATAGGAGTGAAAACAATGACTGATACAGGGAAATGCACATGCTTGTAAATTATGTTTTTCTACAGAAGTGTGCAGCCAAAAATTACTTGTTTGATAGCTTATAAAAGGAAGTATGTTTAACCTACATAGACCTACTCTCAGCTGAGTTTGTGCCTTTATTTTGTGAAATGGTTTTGGGTTCATAGAAAATGGACATAATTTGAATTAAGCATAATTAAATCAAGTATGATCAGTGATTTTAAATTTGACAGCCAAATTAGCTCAGTATTGAAATACAGCTTTTATCATATTGGGCAGCTGGCTAAGGCAAAGCCATTCCTTGCACATAAGCACTTTGAAACAGTAATCCATGCCTTTGTTACATCTCGGCTGGATTACTGTAACGCACTTTACTTTGGAGTCAGCCAGTCCTCCCTCTCACGTCTCCAGTTAGTACAAAACGCAGCTGCCCGGCTCTTAACTGGAGTACGTAAGAGGGAGCACATTACTCCCATACTGGCCTCCCTCCACTGGTTACCTGTGCATTTTAGAGTTCATTTTAAGATTCTTTTATTTGTTTTTAAATCTTTAAATGGTCTGGCTCCATCTTACCTCTCTGAGCTTCTCCACCCCTGCACCCCTGCTCGGTGCCTCAGGTCAGCTGATCAGCTGCTCCTGGAGATGCCGAGGTCCAAACTGAAGCTCAGAGGGGATAGATCTTTTTTCTGTTGAGGCCCCAAAATTATGGAATGAGCTACCCCTCCAAATCAGACAAGCCCCCACACTGTCCATTTTTAAAACTTGTCTTAAAACCCATTTTTATTCATTGGCTTTCAACCCTGCATGAGACTCGGCTCCTGTTTTAGTGTTTTATGGTTTGTTTTTAGTTATTTGTTTCGATGTTTTTAAATTAGTTTTTAAAAATATTGAAACTATATTTTACTTTTTAATATCTGCTTTTATTTTATCCATTGTTTTAATTGATTTTTGAGTGCTTTTATGTCTGTGTTGTTTTTTCTATTTATGTACAGCACTTTGTTCGGCTGTGGTTGTTTTCAAGTGCTTTACAAATAAAGTTGAGTTGAGAAGTATGGTAAAATCAGTTGCTCCATCCTGTGCCATTTCCATCTCTCAAGTTCTTGCCCTGCCAATACATGATAAGTCTCTGCCGAAGGGAGCACAGGTGTGGCCTCCGTTTTGGCCTTGTGTTAATGTCACTCAGGTTATATCTTACTTTTTGCAAGCTGTGTTTCAGAGTTTCAAAAATTGACATAGAGCAACCATGAGAAGTTTTAACTGGTTGAAAAAGATCCTGAAAATCATACTGATGCATCTTCACAACCTTTAAATGCAATTAAGATGTTTAGCAAGAAGACTGATAATTTTTCTGTGGTGTTATTTAATGCATTAAACCACTGTGAAGGGATAGGTGTCATTGTTTAAAATCATAAAATGAGGTTTCCGTCTGTAAACACAACTTTTACATGTAAAGGACAAGGGACAAGATGTGTTATGCTGTTGTTGTTGTTGGGATCTATTAAAGATCCTGCAAGGAACTTTTGATTGTGGACAAGCAGTACCGACTATTGACTGTATATATTATGGACAACTTGCTTCCGCCTTCTGCCAGTATACGGATTTGAAGCCGAAAAGCTTTTTTATTCCTGCAATTTTTCTCCATTTCCTAAAACCAACATTGTGCAGTAGCATTGTACACACTTCACCACTTGCACAGTAGCATTATACGCATTCGGCAGGAGAGTCGCTGTGATGACGCTCAGCTCAAACAGGGTATACCCTGGGTGAGCTACACAATCTTTGTACGCCCATAGGCTGTATCAGGTGTCAATCATATAAAACATGAACCCCCTAATGACTTTTTAAAATGGAGCTGCACAGAAAAAAAGAGGACTTGAGCACAAACCAGTCTTACAGTAACTACATGTCAACATCGCAAGCAGGGGGGAGAAAAATTTATATTCTGTGTAATAAATTTCTAAAGTTTGTCCACAGCTCCTTAAGCTTTGCTGAGGGAGGCAGGATTTATGACCTATACTGCAGCCCATCACAGGAGGCAGTCTATATACAGTCTATGGTACTGACAGTCTTTGCTTATTATGTCCTCTATATGTTTGAGCAGTGTGTTTTGAGAAAAAAAAATCTCATGCTTCTGACTTTAAACTGACAAATGTATCATTTATTGTAACTATTAAATGTGAACATGTAAAAACCATACTGCTCCTAACGGACTTATTTGCCTTGTCATCCTATTTCATATGCACCCAAAACTCCCCATAGGAGCTTTAAGTCAAAAGTGTTCAATTGGTCTGGACTTCAGAGAAGTTTAAAATCTTGGATTGACAGAGTTTGTAGCATCCTATAGTTGGCGATAGTGCATTTTCATCTTCCCGAAACTCATCGGGAATCGGAGAAGAAGAAAAATTCAACCAATCGTCGTTGAGAATAATGCCACCTCTCGGTGTCTCCTTTTGCTGCCACAACAACAAAGAGACGTTAAAAGGCAAGAGAGTTCAGTGTTGTGCGTTTCCGGTTTTGCCCAAAACCGCAGCATGTGATTATAAACACATTTAGTGTTTTTTTTACTTATCCCACCAAAGAACTGCTTTTGAAAGGGCTGCCCAAAAGAGCGCATTTTAATTGAGCTCGAAACAATATTTTTTTTCTAAACATAATTTCCAAACGCGCATGCGCAGTATCACTGTGTCTCACCATCCAACGGCTAACAGCAGTTGTAAATGTTTTTATGTTGTAACGGTAAGACAAGCTACACTCGTTATTGCCTTGTCAAAAAGTACTGTTGTTTGTGTAATTGCTTGTTGTACTGTCACGTGTAATTTTTTGTCGTTTTAACTTGACTTTGTTATTCTCGCCGTTTGCTTCCTGAATATCAGATCTCATCCCGTTCTCTGTTATCTCTTTGCCACAACCTACAACAGATTGTACACAATCATCATGGCGACCCAGGATGGTGGGTATTGAGAAAATGCTGCATTTTCTTCTTATCTTTACATTGAGCTGTAACGCGGTTAATCAAAAAACGTTAATCGGTGACTGACAATCAAATTTATGACGCTTTTGATGGAATAATGTGTAAATTTGCGTTACTCCGTAATGTTATTCCTCAGGTTCACCAGTGGTCTAGTAGCTAACGTAAACGATTGCTAACATTACTTAGATTAAACTGTATTTCCGGAGGGTTTGTGTTTAATATTGTTAAAAATAACCAGTGTTTGTTGAGAATTGGCGTATTTAATTTTCTGTAGAGGTGATTGAATGTGAGGAGGTTTTGAATGGTAACGACGAATCACCAACTGACAGCATGTTAATGTTAACCATACCAGTTCATAACCAGTAAGGCCAACCGTATTAATTTACAGGATCGGGGTCCTCTGGGTACATGTTCTGTCTCTATTACATAGTCTGTTTACGCTTTAGTTGGTTGTGTATGATTTATCCCTTTGACCGGCACAGCGGTATCGAATCGCTGTTAAGTTAGGAAAAATAGCAACGATGGAAAGAGCTAGAAAGAGCAGAAGAGAAAGAGAGATAGAGAGAGCGGTCGATTGAGGTTAAAGAAAAAACGAAACTATTATTTTACGCACGCTGTTGCCTTACTGCCATGTCTTTCTTTCTCACTGCGTGTGTTGGGGAATGATAGCAGTGCCTATTTCACGATTATCATGTGTTTTAAACGTTTGAATTAGCCACAGGAATAGGGAGAACAACTGACACAAATGCATATCTAAATTTTTAAAGAATGTAAAGAAATGCTTAATGAAATGAAGGTTTTCCAAAAGTAAAGTAGTAAATACATATTCAAAGATGATATTACTTTAACTGAAACTGCAGTCTGGGATGGGTTTCTGCCCTGACATGTTCTGGTTCAGTTCTGCACTTTAGGGAACTGTCCAGGACCAGTCACTTTGAGTTTCTTATTGTTTTTGTTTGTTTATTCGAACAGGTTAAAAGAAAAACAGAATAAATGCAATATACAATGTGCTTTGGCAGAAAAACAATTAAAGAGACAGCTCTGTAGGAACATAGATAATCATACTTTGCTCGAAAGGCTGTAGGATGAAGTTTATACAACTTATCTAGTTGTACCCTTTTATTATTGTGTTACTATAATTCAATCAGCCAGAGCATGTGTAGGAATAACAGTACAGAAGATATATCAGGAAAAAAGGCACGTTGCCCATTGTTATAAATTCACGTTTCCGTTTCTCTCTTATATCCATTCAGAATGTGGTTTATAGAACTTGCTGAGTGATCTTATTTAATTTACCACTTAACACTTCTTGATTAACAAACATGTTGTTATTAGTTTACAAAAGTACAGATGTTATCATTTCATGAGGAAGTTCAGATACTGCAGGAGAAAATCACTTTTGAGGAGGACTTGTTAGAAAAACAGTATTCAAACATTTAATAAGTAAATGTTATTTTCTCACAGCTTTCGCTGTAGCATAATTTTGTGTTTTTAAAAAATACCCTCTGCTTGTTCAGTTGAATGTTGAAAGAGGAGATTAAACACAGATGATCTTTTATAGTGATTTATTCTGTAGTGCAGGGCTGTTTGTTGAGATAGACATCCTGACAGGTTTTTTTATGTAATAAATACAGGATGAGAAACTATTTCATTTTATTTCTCAAGTTGAGCTAAAACTGTACTTAGATGTGTTGTATGGTGTCACAAAAACACACTCAGACACAAAGATTTCTTAGAGACACATTCTTGGGTACGCTGCACATACTTTATACTTACTAGAACTAATATTTGCTATAAGACATGCCTGTATGCTTGCCAGCAAAATATGGATTTTTGAAAGTGTGAGATCATTTGTCTTTAGAGAAAACAATTTTGCAATCAACAAGGCGTGATGTCATCTAAGTCAATGTTCTCGTGCTCTTCCAGGAGGTGAAGAAGTCATAATGGAAACTGAGGCAAACCCAAAAGAAGTTGAACCACTATGTGAAGGCGCTGAAAAGGGTGACACAGAAACTACGTCCCACTCAGAGGCAGGAAACGCCACAACTCAGGAATCTAGTATTAGCAATGGGGATGATGCGGATGAACAACGGGAGATGGTGGACGTGAAGATCATCTGGAACAAGAAAAAATATGATCTGAAAATTCCTATTGATGATACTGGAGCTAAACTAAAAGAGAGTATCCATTCACTCACTGGTAAGAGAAACACAGACGTCTACTGTAAACTTTTACACAAACAGTCAAAACTAAAGTAATGTCTGTGCTGTCTTCATAGGTCTTCCACCGGCAATGCAGAAAGTGATGTACAAAGGATTGCTTCCAGAGGACAAGACGCTACGAGAAATAAAAGTCACAAATGGTGCAAAAATAATGGTGGTAGGATCTACAATAAATGATGTATTAGCTGTGAATACACCCAAAGAGGTCATTCAGCAGGAAGTCAAAGCTGAAGAAAACAAGAAGGAGCCTTTATGCAGGCAAAAGGTAAAATGCTCAATAACACTTCTGCACAATGGTAAGAGACAGATTTCCATGGAGTTTTAAAACTCTGCTTTTATTTCAGCAACACAGAAAAGTTTTGGACAAAGGCAAACCAGATGACATAATGACAGCCATTAAAGGAACAAAGGTGAGATGGGATGAAGAGAGATCAGTCCTTGTTTTTGTTCGTTTTGCACTGACTGCCTCAGCTTTTCTAAAGCGCTCAACTTCCCACCTGACTAAAGTGTGTTTTTGTTTTTGGCACCCACAGGAACGATTACCAACAGTGCCTTTATCTGGGATGTTTAACAAGTCTGGAGGAAAAGTTAGACTCACGTTCAAACTGGAGCAGGATCAGTTGTGGATCGGAACAAAGGGTGAGGTTTCAGCTTGTCTGGTTTTGCTGAATTCATAACAATACAAGCTTAACGATGAGGTTTCCATTTTTGATGTTTGTATCTCAACAGAGAGGACGGAGAAAGTTCCAATGGGCTCCATTAAAAATGTAGTGTCTGAACCCATCGAAGGCCATGAGGACTATCACATGATGGTAAGTGTTTTTGCTACTTCCTGCATGGCAAATAAAACACTTGTTTCTGTGCTTGTCGTCATATGAGCTGATTTGTTACTTTTAATTCTTTAAAAGAAAACCCAACATTTATTTAGTTCACCTTCCCTTTGTGTACAAAAGCTCTTCTTCCAAAGCGAAGATTGTTTCTGTTGAGCTGCAGTCACGGTAGTTTGTGTGCATCAGATTGATGGGGCCATCTTTGGCTGTTTTGGGCTCTGCAGCGAAGCGAGAAATGTCACTGCTTTTTGTGCATTAACCTTTCTGTCTAAAGGCACTTCTGCTCCTCTTTGTCGGAGAAAAACAAAAGTCCTGGAACGAGTAACTAATTGAATTGAGTTGTCTTGTGGAGATCAAGTTGTGTTTATAGAGGAACAGAGCGATGTGTCAGAGAAGCGTTGATTTAACAAATACGAAGTTCACAATGATGCATTACAGCTCCGTTGATGTTTCCTTCAGCTGAGTTGCCTTTTTTTAACGTTGTACTACTGGAGCTCCCATATATAAAGTCACTGAGACAGTCTTATATACATAATGTTATATATAACGGAAAATGATTTTTTTTTTAAAGTATTTACAGCGTAAACTTTGATATTTTACAATGAGTATAGATCATAAAACTCAATATAAGCAGACTTATGATAGGAATATTCAAGTATTTCCTTTTGTCCTGATTGCTTGTTGGCAGTTTAATATCACCTCTCACAAAGTGAACTCATGTGTTCACCTGCGTTTAAAGTATTGGTTTGATTTAGTGTGTTCACACACATGTAGAGTGGAAAAAAACAACTTTGTGGTTGTTTTTTGGGTCAAAGAGTCCAAAATGTGGTGCTGGTAATTGGTTCAAATCATGTTACACCTTTTAAGTTTCTGTGGTGCATGATGGGTGAGTCCCTACGAGTGACTTGATCCATCTTGATTGTTTTAGTTGAAATAAATCAGGAGGAAAGACACACAGTACGAATGCACCAGTCAACACAAGCATGGGAAAATAAAAGGAACATGAATTTAATTTGTCTGGATGGCACATGGAGGTTTTTGGTGGGCTGTTATTAAGGAGTACTTATAACTATGAGAGGCAATACTTGATGAACAATAAATCTACCAATCAGCCGTTCATTGTGACCTGTTGGAGAACTTTTTTTGTCTCTATTTCAACTGTTTTGTCCATCATGCAGAGCCTTGTTAAATCAAGTTTTCAGTTTTTTTTTCCGTTGTTACATTAGTAGACCATGTGAAACTTGAGTAGCCATTTAATTTAATTATGTTGTTTTTTCTCTGTTTCAGGCTTTTCAGTTGGGTCCAACAGAAGCCTCTCAATATTGGGTCTACTGGGTGCCTGCACAGTTTGTCGATGCAATCAAAGACACAGTCCTTGGAAAATGGCAGTATTTCTAATGTGCCTCTTTTTTTTCTCGATGAACTGGGATCGAGAGGACGAGCCAATGAAAAGTGAAACTGGAGTCAATGATGAGGCTTAAGGAACTTCTTGGAATATATTGGAAGGAACCTCTGGATGCCTGCGGACTAATCATATTGTTTTTAGTTTAAAGGTGCACTATGTGGCAGCGTAACATTTCTCAGCCCTGCTGAGCATTCAAGGTTTTCTGCAAATCCAAGGGAAAATGATGAAACAATTGTACAGAAATTGCTAACACTTTTCTTCAGTTATTCTTAAAGAAATAAAACTTATTTAATGAAATGTACATACTGGGGCATTGGTGTTTGTTTTCACCTTGGTTGTGTTTTCTCCTTTTATGAATCAGTTGTTGAGTGCCATTGGCCTTTGTCAAAATAAATCTAAGAAACACTCTATATAAAAAAACGTTAGGCTATTATTTTTGAAAGAGTTTGAATTTTTTTGACTTGGATTTCATAGATACAAGGGTTTGATGTTTTACAGTTTCCAGACTGGAGGACAAATGACAGCCTTGTGTGCCATTTAATAGGAGTTTAAAAAACAACTTTTTCTAATTATAACTATAACTGCTCTGTTCCTTTTTTTACTCATTAATAGCAATTGGATAAATCAACACAAGAAATCATGTGATCCTCCAGCTTTATTCACAACTGTCTGTCGTAGAGTACATCATTATTGTGATTTCAAATGATAAATTTTTTCCCACTGTCTTTAATTACGTGAAGTAAAAAATCGTTATCGATCAAAAATGATAAAGATATTTTTGATTGTGGAAAAGGCCCAGCTTAAATATTGGTGTCATATATTTTTAGTAGACTCTCATTTCATTGCAAAGATGCATTTAAATAAGTCAGAGTACAAAACTGGCATTTGTGTTTAAAAGTATGTTTATTTTACGACTGAATTTTTCTTAGACAACCTCTAAAATTACTTGCTTTAATTATGTTTTTAGCATAGACCAGGGGTGTCAAACTCAACCACAGCAACGGCCATAATCTGGATTTGGGTCTAACCTGAGGGCCAAACAGGGTCAACATCTCACAAAAATTGTCAACCCCCTTTTCAAAAAAATATGTAACAAAAACAGCAGTGATTATGAATTATTTAGAAATTCAAAAAAGACAATGATAATTTAAAAGGCGATCTGAGATAGAAAATTTTTTATTCTATTTTTATTTATTACTTCAAAAGATCAGAGCATGATATTAAAAATAGAAAAATAATGCTTTTAAAGAGCGAATACAGGAGGAGAACATTGAAACTGGGTATCAAAGGTCAAAGTATGACTTAAAATTTAAAAACAACACAAGTTCAAATACTGAGTTGAACAAAATCAAAGCATGAAATAAAAAATCCAATCATGTTTGACTTGTAATCTTGACATGCAAAATTGAAAACATGAAATAAAACAAAAAATATTTTTTCCACCACATTCTTGACTATTTATCAAATCTTTCTTACTCTTTAATTCACAGATTTTCGTGGTTTATTCAGGACATTTTAAATAATGGTGCTAAAGTTTACATTATTTTACTGGAGGAAATGTGCAGACTTCATACTGGCGGGCCAATGATAATAAAACAAATATGATATGATCTTGTGGGCCACATATAATTGTTCAACGGGCCAGATTTGCCCCCCGGGCCTTGAGTTTAACACCTGTGGCATACACTGTATAGACTCGAGACTTTAGCACGTGTTAATTTTAAACAAGACTTGGTGCTTTTATTGCGGAGGATTCCAAACCGGAAGTTAAAGTGACGCTTTCCGCCAAACGTCCTGCCAGCTGTTTTGGCGGGAAAACTGAATGAATCAAACGTTTCCACGTTATTTTCACTGTAAGGAGGCGGTTGAGGTCAGTTATGAACCAAAACACTGAGCGGAAACGTCCACCGCCCTTGAAAGTGCTGTCCGGTCAGCTGAGGACCGCAGAGAACCGGGGAACGACAGACGGCGGGGATGGGTGTGTTATTAAGCTGAAAAAAGGTCGCACTTTGCAGGCGTCGCTGGTGTGGATGCAGGGGACGGTGCTGGAGGTTCATCTGGACAGAAACACCGTACTGCTGATTGATGAGACAGGGACGTTTGCCGTTCAGGGTGTCAACAATATCCCCAGAGGCAAACCATGTCTGTCCCAAGGTAAGGAAGACAGATCACCTGATCCATTACATATCTGATGTTCACAGCTCTGGTGCAACACAAACATAACTGCAACTGCAGTAAATGCATAACTGCATAAATGCAACATAAAATGAGACCATTAGGAACCAAACAAAAACATAAAATGGTTAAAAAAGAGAATGCATTTAAAAGGGTGGTTAAAAGTGGAAAACAGGATAGTAAAAATAAAAGACAAGATCAATAATGATAATAAAATAATAAGTAATAGTGATAATAATAGTAATGTAATAAAACAGAGCAACAGAAATGGGCAAAAGAATAAACAATCAATGGCCTAAAACACAGGTGTTAAACTCAAGGCTTGGGGGCCAAATCTGGCCCGTGGAACAATTATATCTGGCCCACAAGATCATATTATATTTGTTTTATTATTATTGGCCCACCAGTATGAAGTTTGCAGATTTCCTCCAGTATATAGTGTATAGTGTAATAACTTTTTCCTCCGGTGTAATAATATAATCTTTAGCACCATTATTAAAAATGCTCTAAATTAGCCACAAAAATCTTGGAAATTAAAGAGCAAGGAAGATTTGATAAATAGTCAAGAATGTGGTGGAAAAAATATTTGATGTTTTATTTCATGTTTTAAATTTTGTATTTCAAGATTACAAGTCAAATATGATTGGATTTTTTATTTCATGCTTTGATTTTGTTCAACTCAGTATTTAGACTTGTCATTTTTATACTTTAGTTTCCAATTTTAAATCTTAAGTCATATTTTGACCTTGTATACCTGATTTCAACATTCTCTTCATGCATTTGCTCTTTCAAAGCATTATTTCTCTATTTTTAACATCATGCTCTGATCTTTTGAACCAATAAATAAAATAGAATAAAAAATAAAAATGAAAAAAATGTTTCTATCTCAGATTGCCATTAAACGTATCTTTTTTGGATTTCAAAATGATTTATAAGCATTGCTGTTTTTGTTTTGCATATTTTTTGAAAAAGAGGTTGACAGTTTTGGTGAAATGTTGACCCTGTTTGCCCCTCAGGTTAGACCTAAATCCAGATTATGGCCCTTGCTGTAGTTGAGTTTGACACCCCTGACCTAAAAGGTTAATTAACTAAAGAGTATAAGTATAACAAAAGCTAAAAATACAGTAAAGCTGAAATAAGATAGAGGTAAAAGAGGTAAGAGATGGCAGGTAAAAGACAAAAGACGGCATCAAGTAAAAGCAAGTCCGTAAAAAGTGAGTTTTTAAATTACTTAAAAGAAGTGACTGTCTCTGCACGCCTCATCTCCTATGGCAAGTCGTTCCAAACTTAAGGAGCTCTGACGGTAAAAGCTTTATCACCTTTGGTTTTGAGGCTCGACTTTGGATCTCACCATCTTTGTTCTCTTGATTGAATCTATTGCGGCTGGAGAGGAATTTACCATCCACTGCTTCCTTTTACAGGTAAATATGTCATGGTGATGGGTGTCATCCTCGCCCTCTCCCCTGAGCCGGTCGTCCGTGCTGTGAAGATGGCAGACCTCTCAGAGCTCGCTGCTGTTCACAGACGGATGTGGAAGCTGGAGGTGGAAGAGCTGCAGCAACTGTTGGCCTGAATGTAGAGGGAGCATGCTGCTGCTGCTGCTTTAATGTGTGTCTGTCTGAGTGTGAGGTACAAAACTGATTGTTCTTAAAGTAAACCTCCATGAACTGAACAGAGAAGTCGCCTCGAGGGATCGTCTGTGGGAGTATTAATACGAGCGTAACAAAGACTTTTGTTTATTTATGAAAATGACTGTATGCTCCGCTTTGCCCCGAACTGTCTAGGGAGAGTCTTTCAGAATAAAAGTGAAGTTGAAGGGTCCAGTAAAATCGTTAACACATATTTATCTATCTGTGATCTTTCCTGACATCTGCCCTAGTTTACTCTTTCCATCATTGAGTTGCTGGTGCTTGAGAAGAAAAGTACCAACTCTCATCAAAACATCCATTTAGAGATGATGGTTCAAAGGGTGATTTTAAAAACAAGTGAGATTTTTAAACACTTTCAGCTCTTTTTAAACTACGTTAATGTATACAGCATTAAAACTGGCAATTTGGTATGATGTTGAAAGTGTTTTTTAATGGACAACTTATTGGCAACTAAACAGCGATTATTAGGGCCGGGTTCATTTTTGCTTTTGAAATGGGTGCAATGTAACTCTTGTCTTTAATATTTTGATGGTACAAACCTGAACTCATGACAATTTTTACCTTTAATAAGATACACTAGACATGGAAATCAGTGCCAATAACTATAATAAAAATAGTCTAGCTGATTGATTCTATATTTGTATGTCTTTGCGATTTTGATTTCCAATATTCAATAAGATTTGACATGCTGAGGTTGTTGCTAATAGCCCCTTCTCTTGAAATGTCACTGTGATTTGTCATACAAACTGCATGACATGTTTCTCTCTCATAGAGGGTATTTTGCTCCCAAGCTACGAACAAAGCATGTTTTGCTTATACCCTAACACAAAACTAAAGTCAGTGTCTTCTGAATATGGGGTTTTTTCAAACACATAATTCCCCAAACTTTATCCACTTATAAAGATTCAACAAAACAAGCCCTTAGTGCGATTCTGACTTCAAAATCTGTTTCATTTCAGCAAAATATGGGTTTTTAAAAGTGTCATACCTTCCTTTTTTTAACATAAAAAAAACCATTGAAGACTATCAGCTTTTCACAGATTTACAAATTTGACATGAAGCAAGTACAAGTGTACCTTAGGATATCATTAAAGCTATACTTTACTCTGGCAAACAAAGTGAACTAGTAATTAATCATATCTATTGTTCCGTCTAATTAGCACCACCAACATAAAAATGCCAGATTTATTAATTTATACTAAAGTTTATATTTCACTTTACTGAAATTGCAGTCGTGCGATAGCATGTTGTATCAATAGTATATTTTTTTAATATCTTTTTAATCTGTTATCACTAAATAAAGTTTGAGTCATGTAATGAAAACCAGAATTTAAAGGACACTATTTGTTGTTTTGCATTAAGGTGTAATTAACTCTCTTTAAGAGCATTATTCCCACTGCTTATGAGCATCCATAAATGTCACTATAAGACATTAAGAATCCTCATAACCACTTTTAAAGATTGTGAAGCCTTATAAATGCATCAATAAAGCTTTAAAAGTGTGCAAATAAAAATCACTGCTAAACTTCAATGAATATATCAAATCAATATATAGATGATGAAAAGTTTGTCTCGGCCTCACAAGGACTTTTGTTTTTCTGTTTAACCAGCTAAATATTCAAATTCAGAAAAGTAAATACTTGCGTGAAAAAAAATGTAAACTTTCATTCACGTTGTATATGGTTATCTTGTCTAATAATGTGTTTGTGGACTTGAAGTTAGTTCATAGGATACAAATATACACCTGCTTTTTCAAATGGTTTTCAAACATGACTAAAATATTTGTCTGAAGCAGAATTAAACAGCTTTTTTCTCATATTATACAATAGCCAGTGACTGTTGTAGATGGAATACAGTCATTTGGGATTGGTCATATGCATAGGTGATGTGACTCTGGTCTTATGAGTGCTGATGCTGAATCCACTCTCCATCTTTGTCTTCTCCCCAATAAATCCCTCAGCCATGAATCAGCAGTTGAGTAGAACGGTTTGCCAGCATTAAAATGAAGCGATGAAGCTGCAGTAAGATCCAGATAAACATCAGCTGATGACATCAATGCACGGCAAATCATTTAAACAATGGGCTGATACATCCCAGTTTTGAATCATCTGTAGACCAGGACGATGATGGTCGTGGGGTTACTTTGCAAAAAATGTGGATTTAACAGAAAGAGTTCAAACACGAATAAAAAAGAGGCTTTATTCGGTGTGGTGCCCATTACACTGGTAACACTATTGGATAAATGGAAAAGTGAGAACTGAAATCTCAATTTAAGTGATCCATACTTCAAAACTTATTGAGGGGGAAAGGTCATTAACATACAAACTGCTTATGAAAAGAAATTAACTTGTTTAGGTCAACTGTGAGTATCTGAACACGTTCCTGATCATGGTCTACACATGCTGCCTGTCACCACCAGTCTCGCGTAGTTTTTCCGAATGGTGCAAAGCAAAAGCCGCAAGTGTCTCACACTCCAGACTTTGCTGTTAGCAATAACACTCCTGTAGCTCTGAACACAGTAAACCAGCCACCAAACAAGAGGGCTGGTCCTGAGACCCCTCTTGAAAACCATGCCAGGATCAGGCTATTTCCTGTGCAATTCAGAGGCCCTTTTTAAGGATCACTTGCCTCAACACTGTCTGAATACTGCATCATCTGCAAGGGAGCATGAATATTGCCATCGTGTGATTTATATAATGTCTTTAAGGAGAAAACTGTATTTTCCAAAGTCATTGTCATTCGGTGCTATAAGATGGTCTTTTCTGGCTTTGGCAAGTTTCATCAAAAGGAATTCCCTGCGCTCCATCCACTCTTTTAGTTCCTGCTCCCCGTGTGCCAGTTTACACAAGTCATCCTCTGTGCATGTGCCTTTGAGGAACCTGTCAGAACACAAGATCAAATGCAAAGCCGTCAAAAAACCAGCTGGAATCAGGCTGAGGCGTGAAACATCCTGCGGCTGGAGATCTTACCTCTCGCAAACTTTGAAAGTGCCCGTGGGGAATCGATACTGCCAGCAGTTCTGATCGTCCTCAGAGTTAAACACCCGGTCTTTGTGTTTTTCTGAAGTGATATGCTGCTGCCACTGCTTCTCGCTGTTGCAGTTTTTACCACACAGCCAGCAGTGATTGCCAGCCTGTGAAAACAGAGAAATCCAATTTTTCACAAATAGCTAATAACGTCTGCTGCTAAGTGACTCAAATTCCTACAAATTTCTATTAATCACAGAGCAAAGCAAGTATTTCCAAAGCAGATTCTATCCTTCTGATTTCATTATTTAATCCACAGACCCTTAGATTTCAAGACTGTCTTCAGAACTGTTGAAACTTTCAAAGTGAATGTGTGGGAATGTTCCTTTTTTTCCACAAGGCTTAAGCTTTGCCATCCAACCTGAAAACTAACCATTACAGCCAGAAGTTTGAGCTTTTTATGGAATTACATTTACATCAGATGTTAAGTTAAAAATGACTCCTGACATCACAAAGCCCTAAAACTAGGGTGACCATATTCTGAATCCCCAAAAATAGGACACAACTACGTGGGGGCGGAGTCATGGAGTCGCAAGTAGTAAATTTTGAGTTTTCCGCGTTGGGTCGAGTGTTTTTTACGTGCTTCTTACTCGGGAAGTCAAAGCGACACAAACTCAAAACTTCCACACAAAACCTTGCACATTTAAAGGATTTTATAAACCCCCAGGACAAGGCCGGACAGCCCCCCAAAAGGGAGGACATGTCCAGGTAAAAGAGGACGTATGGACACCCTACTAAATCAAGCCGTCTGTGTATCACCAGACTTATACTTGGTGCCCCCTTTGCCAGTCTATGAACTCACCACTTCTTCAGCATAGTCTGTTGGCATGTGGATCTGCTTGCCGTTCTCCCTCATGGAGTTACTAGAGCTGTCGTCGCCCCAGCCAGGCTTCTGAGACAGCAGCCACTGCTCATAAAGCTGATCCATATCTGGAACTAAATGAGGAGGAGGGGGATATGTGGGATCACTTTTGTAGCACTGCATCATGATGGTGTTTTACTAAACGCACAGACTAAGAATCAGAGACCGCCTCCTTGGTTAGACTCACTGTTGTTTTCCTTCATGTAGGTCCAAAGATCTCTTTCTTCCACACTGTGAGCGAAGGTGCAATTCCCAATGTACTGGCACTTCTTGCCAGCTGTCACGTGCATGCAAATCTACGACAGAACACAGACGTGTATGAGGATGCTGGGATTTTGTTTTTTAATTGGACACACAGAGGGGGAAAAAGGCAGAGAGTAGCAGGCCGGGTACTCACCTCAAACTGAGATGGGATGGGTTTTTTGGTTGGAAGTGGTCTAACTGTCGTCCACTTTTTCCTCTCGTGGGAACTTACAAGGACCACCCGTCTGTCTTTAGCCCACCTGTGACAGAAGGCAGGTGCTGAGTATCAGGCTGATTATGTTTCCACCATTAGTCCATATTCTGGAGTCTGAGCCCCCTCATTACTCACGTGTGTCTGGCCTTGGCTGAGCAATACTTTTTGTTTTTGTCAGCTTCACTTAGTTGGCCGTTTCTCCAGCACTGGCCACAGACAAACATCATCTTTAGAGTTGGAGGGCCGAACCTCCTCTGAGCACTTGCAATCTGCTTTGAATTAGGAAAAGTGGTTACCATTTTTGTTACCACGAGATCTCACTCAGGTCATCATGTTACAAATGATAATCCTTTATTATCTCGTCTTTTTCTACAACTAGCAACAAGCCTGAGAAACAGTTGACAGAGACATGGTGATGGTCTTACCTGAGCTCCCTGCAATGACACTGTTGCACTCCAAAACTTCTTTGCCTCTTGAACGATACCTTCATGGGTGATACCTGGGTCAAAAGTGAAATGTTTTGTAAATCGAGCAACAGAGATGGAATACTGCATATTAACATTCAGTTTTAAGGTCCTTACACACCGGGGCCGACATGAATATAGAACGCGAAATTACGAAATATTCAGAGGTGCATTTTGACCGGCCTGACTATACACATCAAGCCCGATGGGATTTTGTGACTTTCCGTGGGGAAAAGACGCATCCTGGCGAAGACTTCCCGGGGAAAGTCCCTCCTCCTTCGCATATCAGAAATCTGGCGCTATGACTCTCCACAAGTTGTCCTTTAGTTCGTTATCTTTATAATGTGTGTGTAAACGATCATAAACAATCAGCCGGTCGGCCATGTTGGATATACCGGTGAATCTGACGTCGCAACAACACGAAATCTGATCGGACACACAGTCTGCGAAACTTTGGAAAAATCAACCATGATCCGAAAAAAAAAAAAATGCCGCAATATCGCAGGACAGGAGAACGCTGCTGATGTGAACGCTTGTATTGACAGGATACAGGTTCGGAAAAAAATATTGACGTCCGAAATAATCGCTTGACAAAAACGGTCCCGGTGTGAAATGACCTTTATGCCACAGTGCAACATGTCCCTTCATAAAACAAACAAGTCAGTAAGGTAAGTTAGTTAGTAAGTAAGGTAGGTAAGTAAGTAAGTTAGTGAGTAAGTAAGTAAGGTAGGTAAGTAAGTTAGTAAGTAAGTAAGTTAGTGAGTAAGTAAGTTAGTGAGTAAGTTAGTAAGTAAGTTAGTGAGTGAGTAAGTAAGGTAGGTAGGTAGGTAAGTAAGTTAGATAAGAAAGAAATAAAGATGGCTTCCACCTTTAAATAAGTTTGAGAAAGCACCAATACAGTGCAGCTTTACTGTGCCTTACCGAGCTCATGCTGCATCATCCACACTTTTAGCTCAATGAGACTGTGGGCGTAGAAGCAGTCGTCTTCTCTCACACAGCCATAGCGGACTTCATGGCGACAAAGGTCCAACTGGCACTGAGGACTCAATGGTCTGATTTTGGAATAGCGAACTGTGTTCTCTTTCAAAATGTGGACCAGGCACCTGAAAGACAGACAAAAGTCTTTTCCTCGTATCAACTTGGTAGAACACTGGAACCATAAATCATGAAACTAAATGAAGGTTTGAGAACTCCAGGTGTTTGAAAACTTACTTATGATCCTCAAAGTCATGCTTTGTCACTGGATGAGAGCAAAGTGTGGGGTCATCTTTGTTGGTTTTGCTGATTATTCTAGGTTTGTGGTCAAAGCACACCTAAGAATTAAAAAAAAAATTATGTCATGAAAAGAACGAACAATTAAAAAAAAAAACAGGAGCCCTATCGCTGCAGGAAATCCCAAAGTATGATAACACAGAGCTCAAAACAAAAAGAGTAACTGTGAAAGAAGCAGAGCCATTGTAAATCAAACATTTGAGTGATTTCTGGTTAACTGAGATGTTTCTTTTGTCCAGTTTTTGTTTGGACGGTTAATCAGTGCAATCTTTTAATGCTCGCTCAGCTAAGGAGTCTTTAACCTCTGTGGAATCACAGATTTACGGTAAGAGGAGCTTTTTCCCCCCCAACATTCTCACTACTTTAAAATCATTCTTGCCAACCGGACTCAAGAGACACTCACCCCACAGAGAAACATGAATATCCCATGATGCTCCTGTAAGATCTTGGGGACATTCAACCTGACGTTGGAGTTTGGCCCGTACGGGTCAAAGAGGAGTTCTCTGGAGATGAAGCCTTTCCGCTCCAGAGTCCACACATCAATCTCCTCCTGACAGTATGCAAATGTGCAGTGTCCAGGGTACAGGCACTCTTTCCCAACAGCCACCTCTGAAACAGCACAGGGGACAGTTCAACGCTCAAAGTTTGGTAAAAGTAACTTGCATCCAAAGAAACATTCAAGAGACTGAAATTAGGGGCATCCAAATACAACTTTTTTTAACTTCTGATAGGATATCGGTAAGATAAGAGAAGATAAGAACTTTATTAATCCCCGAGGGGAATTTCAATTGTCTGTTGTCTCACATAATATGTCTCTAAAAGTTACCTATTATTTACACAAGAGTATATTGTAAATTGTAGCTTTTGGTATCGGCCGATACCGATATTGGTGCTACATCACAAGTTTTGCACTCAGCTGCAACGTCTATTTTGGACTTAAACAAAAAATACTGCCACAGGGCTGACATCACTCCTACTCCTTGCTACCTTAGTACACACTGTTGTTGTGATTATGTGGGCTCTGCATGCTAGATCCAAGTGCTGATAGAGGTGCTGGAGCAGAGTCTGGAATGGACTGCTTAAATCAGAGTGCTGATATCAGAGATTTTAGATGCAGGCGATATAATTCGATATTCGTTTTTTGCTGATATTGGACCGATATCAGTATCGGATCAGGACACCCCTAGCTGAAATAATGATAATCATAATAATAAAAACTATCTCACTTAAAGATAACTTGCAGTGGAACATTTCATCATGCTCATCAAACGGCTATTTTCCAAAATACTCTTCTTAATAAAATAACTTTTAAAAAACCGAGGAAACACCACAAGAAATGCAACTAATCGTTATCAAAAAACTTATTAGTCAACAAATGTCACTATCATTAATTAGGCGGTTACGCTACCATGCATGTTTTCTGTGTGACACTGCTTTATCGAGCTGAAAGCTCGAACATCCCTGACAATCTCTGCTGAAAGCTGCACATGCAAAAACAGCAAACAGTGATAAAGCCACGACGAGCAGCAAAATGACTGCGGCTGATGCAACACTGTTGAGCTTTGAAGGTTCAGGAGCATTTCATTTTAAATGCTGTGAAGAAAACGAATGCTGACCTCTGTTATCATAGAGAAAGAGAACATTCAACGTCTCCTTGAAACAGCAGATGTGACATTTCAGCTACACTGATTTTTCTCTCATTTAGACTTGCACTCCCTCTCCCGTGTGTCCTTTTCTCTTATTTCATCTTTTTTTTCTCTTGAGATCACTTGACAGCGTATTACTACAGTAACCAAGAGACCAAGCTCAACACATTAAAACAAATCTACCATCTCCCATCATCAACGGAAATGTTTAAAGCCAAGAAGAAAGGATGGCTTGAATCAAGATTTTTGATGCAAGTTTTGATTTAAAAAAAAAAAGTTTAAAGCTGTCAAATCATTGCACTTTTCATCCTCAAATAACTTAACTAACTCTATCATCAGTGACTAACCAACCATCAAAATATGCAGTGTAACAGCTCTACATGCAACTCTTACAAAGCGACAAGTGTACACACATCTAAACGTTACCTTTACAAATGTAATAAGGTCCAACATATTGCGTTTTTGTTGGTCTGGGCCGAATGAGCTTCCACGTTTTGTCTGTTGAATGTTTTATTCTGCCCAGTAAAGCATCTTTTTTGCATTTGTGCTCTTCTGTGTGCAGTACATAATCCAACACACCAGGCCCTGTAGTAATCAAACAGAAGAAAACACAGCTGTAAGCCAACTTCCAAAGACAGCAGACACACAGACAGATTGTAAAAACAATTCCTCACCGGTTCTGACGTAGCACATTGAGCACGCCTGTCTGAATTCATGTGTTTCAGCTAAGGGGTTCTTCGCCATATCTATGGCAGGAGGTAGACCCTTTACTTCAGGCATCCCCACAGCCATTCCCATAGGGGTGGCACTATTGTTCATCTGTTAAAAAAGTGAATAAATGGGATGAAATAAAAGCCTGACTCGTGTAGAGTCTTAGGAAAATCAAAACACAATAAGTAAAAGATTACCTGAGGCATGAATGGACTTGGAACATAATCTAAGGTTTAAATGTGGAGAAGAAAACACAAAATCCATTTTTTAGATTGATATTCATTTAAAACGAAGCAGACTCCAAAGAGAAAGCACACCGTGGTACCGAGGAGCTTACCCGTTTTAAAGTCTGTTATGCTGAGACTATCCAGGGAGTCTAGTGGTGGTGTGAGGGCATCAAAAGTGTCCATGCCAAAATAAGTACTGTTCCCTGACTTGTGATACAGTGGGGGCAGCGTGATGGTGCACTGTTGAGCGCTGCTGTAGGGGAAAGGGTTGATGTGAGATGGCATCAAGAACGGACTGGACATGGAGCTGCCCGAGGCAATACTGGTTGGCAAAGGAAGAGGCCCCTTCACTGTGGGAATAACCTGAGGGAAGAGACGAACCAAAGTCACACCTGTTCAGGTATCAACGCCTTGTCACATTTTATTCATCAACCCGGCTCCTGCATTCACTAACCATGGCTGATTCAGGGCCGGCTTGGTCCAGAAGATCGTCCAAGTCGTCTCCTATAATGTCTGTGTCAAAGTCCTGACTGGTGTCCAGCATCCCACAAGGTTTACTGGTCCTGCACCCGTTAACAAATGAGGGCACAGGAAGAGAAACAGGCGAGGGTACTGACACAGGTAGGGAAGCAGACTCAAAGCCCGGAGGCTCAGACGGGGGCACAGATGAGATATTGTTGATGGCGGGGAGTTCAACGTCCAACGCGGTTTCATTAAGAGGCGGGAGGACGACGACTGGAGCTTGAATCGGAGCCGGGGGTGGAGCTACTGGGGCTGCAGCACTGCTGTCCTCTGTCAGCCGAGGCACTTCTAAAACATATCGAAGAGAGCGACTTTAGTCCTTTGAGTCTAAGCGGAGCCAAAACTGTATTTGTTATTTCACTTACCAATTTCTATGTCTTCAACTGAAGACGAGCCGTGGGAGAACTGGATAAAAACAGAGGATACTAGTTGAAGAATTCCATTCTTAGGAGAGTTCAGACACATATTCACTCTTTAGTTGCTTACCTTGTCACCCGATGCATCTTGATAATTTGACCCTCTCATAACATTCAAGGCAGGCTGTTTAAAACAGAAAAAAAAAGTACAGTTTGATTTTGAGGGACATACATCACGGAAGTATTATCAATAGGAATTTAACACTGAACTGTTTGACCTAGAAGTTTCATAGAGGAAGCTGGAGCGTTTTAGTAACGTACTCTGAGTGTGGGGAGGAGTTACCTGAGACGCACGTACCTTACTCCTTACATAGGCTTTACGGATTTTCAATCCTAAAAGTTTGGCAAGATCCTGTGTCAGCTGCGTGACACTGGCATCCTAGAGGAAACACAGCAAACTCAGTTCATTCAAAACACCGAGATCAGATCTTTTTGCAGTCATGACCAAACTCACGAGAAGGCTGTGCAAGCTCAGTCAACAAAAACATGATCGCCCACACTAGTGAGCACCAGGATCACAAGCCTGACAGAAGAATTATGAATATGTATTGTTACTGTTGGTCTGACAATGGAAGTGTTTCACAAAGGAAAGATTAAGTTGTATATTTAGGCAACAAAGAAAAACTCAAGAGCTTAACACAACCAGCACAGGCATGAGGATGACACCCCGCCTCGAGGCTGGTGGTGCTAGCTCTGCTAATGTTAGCCACACCCAGCAAACCGATTATGTAGTTTACCTGCGAACTCTGTGATCCTGTGTTTAGATTTCTGAGCTTATCTGAACTTTAGACTTCTAGGTTAGTTGGAAGATTTCTTTACATGACTAGGTAACATCTTCTCAAAATGTTCCTGCCCCATTTTTTTAATGTGGAAAATCCTTCTTAGGACTCTTGATGAATCAATTCGAATGAATGTCAGACATCACAGAACACACACTTTACCTGAGGCACAGCTAGAGAGCATTTGGCAACAGCCTCGTAGGCTTCTTGGTGTCTCCCCATCTCCTTTAAGGATTTGGCTTTCCTATACAGTGCTTTGTAGTTCCCCTCGTTCAGCTGGAGTGCCTTTTCACAGTCCTCTAACGCCTGGTCATACAGTCCCTGAGTGAGGAAATAGAAAACACGGATCAGAGTGGGAAAAGCTTGACCAAAGTGCTGTGAGGGAACACAGAATAAAAACGCCTCTAATTGATCAGAAATTGACTTTACATGTTGGGTAAGGAAGGTACGGGTCTCCCAAAAGAAAACATTGCAGGATTTGATACTGACAGACGCCAGCAGGGACAAAAGGACACAATGTTCTATTGAAAGCATCAATTCAGCAGGATGGAGGGTTCCTCATGGGGGTCTCTGTTTCTCTAAATCTATTAGAAGTCAACAGTATAAATGATGCTAATAATGACTTTAACTGAAGTCACCAATAATACAGATCATCATAACAATGCTTGTTTAAGTGTATACAAGTGCAACCACTGATCCTGATAATAATATAATCAAATCAGTCTCTCAGTGTTTGCAGTTTTTCAGTCTAAATCCATTCATTATTATTTTAGTATTATGGCTTAATCACAATTCTATTCATCCAGTGTTGCTTGAATATCATTACTGCACACCCCCTTAAAAAACTGCTGTTAAATAAGCCAGAATCAATCAGAACACTGTACTCTTTAAAAAGGTTGTTTCAACAATTTAGAAAAAGGATTTCTGTCAAGCTATGAAACTGTTCAGAAATAAAAATCTAAGTGTTGAGCTTTAAAAAAGAAAAAAGTGCTGATTTATTATTCCATCCACATTTAAATCTAATATACAGCGTTGTCTTGGCAGAAATATATCTGATGGATTTTCATAAAATCAATAGAAAGTCACAAATACTTGGTTTGATCGCTAAGCATGTCTGATTTTACACTCAATACTAAATATGACAATACAATATTAAAACACCAGTCAATAATGGTTTAGTATGCTGTTAATGGATGATGGGAAAGATGTAATATCCTAAAGAAAAAATTATAGTGATATAGCACTAGTGAGGGTCAATGTTGATATGATGCATATTATGCCTAAATGTCAAAAAAGGTTTTGTACCAATTAAACTCAAGGTCTAATTAATTTGGAGATGTGGATAAAAGACTTTGTGACTTTGACTTGTTTTATTAAACTGAAGCAAAGCTTTTTTTTTCAGACTGAAGATTACATGCACAGAATTTAACATGTGACTAAACTGAACGAGAGGGCCTATCAAAAATGATCCAGTGACACTGAACAGGCAGATTAAACAAAGTAGTTACAAAAGGGCATCGCTAAGGAGGTCAGCCCCGCCCCATGACGTTGTCACCCTCTCTGTCCTTATGCAAAAACAAACCGCAAAAACTGATGTCACACGCTGAAACAACACAAAGACTCTGAGCCGCCAAAACGCCACCCTCTCTGACCATCTCTCTAAAATGTTTGTTGTGCATTTTAATAGGAAGAGTCTGCTAACTTTAGCTGTAGCGCTGGTTTAAAGTTCCTCTTTATGGTGGTAAGAGTGACATCACATTTGCATGTACACAATCCAGTCTGTCTGGGTCCATAAAACTGATGTAATTGCACTCTATTTGTGGCATGTAGGGAGTGCAGTTTGTCTTAAAACTGTTTTGTGATATTTTAAATGACTGTGTTTAGTGTGAGACTCCAGAAAAGTGAAACTTAAAAGATTAAAACATGCTCTGTTCCATTGAGTATGCTAGTGAGCAAGCATGCTAAATAACAGGGGCCTGGTGGAGGTACACACAAACAGACTACTGTCATTATCAATGGAGACAGTCACACAGGACTTAAGCAGGTCACCATTACTACCATGACGTTAGTCTGGAGAAGCTGTGTCAACATTTCAAGCAAATATCATGGCACTGCCACTTTCAGAGGCTAATCATGTTTTATCCTTACAGACACACTATAGCACAGACATGGGTAGAGGATGATAAGAGAGAGTGTGCAGAGCATGGCAGTAGACCAAGTGTAGAAAAGAGGTTGACAGTTAAGCATTATTCCTGTAATTTCAGATCAACACAGAGAAAATTACAAAAGATAAAAATGGATGTTTATCTTTCTGCACTTGGAAGCAGGCGACCACTCTTATATAGGACTTTGCTGGCACCATTTAACTGCATTTGTAAACTATTTGGTGAAGTTGAACAGGAGGTTGCATTCAAAGCTAAGTGTGACCGTCACCTATACTCACTGGAACAATGTTTAGGTAGGCGGCAGCTCGATTTGCATACAGCTTTTCCAGTAAACCAGTTGGAACGCAGATGTCTTCGGAGTCAGCGTAGTCGGCTATACTCAGAGCTTCAGTGTACATCTCGATGGATTTTGTCCAGTCGCCTTCTCTGAACACGTCGTTTCCTTCTCCAAATAAATTCCACACGAGATCTTTTATGAACACCTGAAAGTTGGATAAAACAAGTCAGTTCAAAAATCTGCATTGTGGAGCTGATTTGATCGCAATGTGCATGACCGATTGCCGTTCGAACGACTCAGTCACCATCTCCAGATCAGTTTAAGTCTGTGTAGCACAAAGCTTTGTTACAAGATGGGAAGCTATTTTCATTACAGCTTACCTCATACTGATCTTGACTTCCTGGAAATGGTAAGGTTGATCTGAAAGCAAAAAAAAAAATTCCTGTTAGAAAACTTTTTAAAGTCAGAGCAAAAACAACCTCAGTGGGCTGATTAGTTTCAATATTCATAGGAGTTCAGTAGCATTCAGAGCACAGATTAATTCAGCACAAAGAGGAATGCAGAAGACAAAAATCTGATTAAATATGTTATGAATCTAAAATACTTCAGCTGTGAAAACCTTCACCGATTTGTACTGAAATTTAAAAAAGCCGTATGTGTCAGTGGACTGATAGGAGTTTCTTTGTGCAGGTGTGGATCATCTTGGAAACTGAATGCAAAAAAATAAGCAAAAGCTTCTTTCTGTAAACAACTCCCAATCTAAAAATGATTCTAGTAGGCAAATAAAGGCCAGGTAAATTTTACTTGTGGTGAAATGGTTTAGATTTGGTTGTTGAAAGGCATACAGACATAAATACACAGTATTTAATCTGTGTGCCAGCTCAGGAGATTAAAGCCAGGAACAGTTTTAATAATTTGGTGTACGGTTAAACTGGGCTGATGATTTGTTTTGCCTGGAACTGTCAGTCTGATTAAAGGTTACGTTATTAAATGTCATGATGGAAAATTGTGTAATGATCTCAGTTAAGCTGTTTCTTTCTGCTTGCTGTTGCTGTCTGGCATTTAAAGTGATCTTTTTTTTCTTCTTTTTAACACTAAGGGTGTCTTGGTTTGATGCAGGTTACACGTTTTATTGCAAGTATGCTGGGCTGTATGACATAAGTGTAACTCACCTGTAATAGCTAGAATTATGTTCACCTGTTTAGATATGTGGCATCTATTCACACTACAGCACTAGCATGGGTTGGGCTAATGTGTAAAAGCCTCAAGTATGTACTAGGGCCCGACCGATTTATTGGCGAGACGATTAAATCTGCCAATTTTAGCCCATTTGAGACTAATCGGTAATCAGCCAAAACACGCAGATTTTGCCGATATTTTCAGAAATAAAATGCGGAGAATAAAATTCAGTTTCACTTTGAGAATGTTCCGCCATTTGAAAAGTTCCCCAACTTATCCTGTAGATGGCACAGCGACCTCATGACAATCTTCATCCACTAGCTACCTCACAGCACAGCAGGGTGACGGATCTGCAGCAGGCAGCTCAGGGACGCACGGAGGAGAGTGGTCCGCCTCAACAGTAAATAAACCAGTTTGTGAAATACACAATAAGTCAACAAGTTTCAGTTCAACCCACGTCACAACATTCCCCACTGTGCTGGTCTCGGTCACGCCGAGTTTACGGTGAAGCACTATGTAATATGCAAGCTTAAGTTAGAGTTAGCCACCTGCTATTAGCCTTGCTACACTTATAGCCATGCTAGTAACGGTAGAATAAACAGCAGTACAAATTATGTGATTGAGCTACTTCTATTACTGAGGCAACTGCATGTCTCCAGATAAGACAGGACCGGAAATGGGAAACGTGAGCGAAGATGCGGAGGCACTGATCGGCGGGAGGGAGTGGTAGTTGAAAACACTTTTCTGGTCCGAGTTTGATCAGTCGGTCTGCCTGTCAGCGTGAAGACCAGTAGCCTAAAGTATATCTACAGTATGTATATATTTTGTATAACTTCATAAAAGTTTTTTTTTTTTTAAATCGTCTGATTAAACGGTAATTGGATTTTTTTCCCCCCTAATAAAAAAAAAATATTATTGATCCCAAACTGGGAAATTACCATGTTATAGCAGCAATTAAAGCACAAAATAAAATTTATATAAAAAGTATGTACAGTACAGACTAAATATACTAAAACTATACACAATAAATACAGACTAAATATACGAAACATCCTAAGAGAAAAAAGTGAGATATGAAAAAAGTGGGCTATCCACTGGTAGCACTAATATGAAAATAGTAATAAATATTAAATACGAAATGCGAATCATAATAATCGGTATCGACCCTAAAAAAATCGACATCGGTCGGGCCCTCATGTATACCATAATAGTGGCTTTAAACAGATATAACTTTCAGTATCACCGTAACTCACTACGACAGTGTGATTTCACTGGAGGCTGATGAAATGCGCAGCAGTAATTTAAGGTTCACTTTTGTTTCAAGTAACCATCAGATTTGATGGAATGCAGCAACGCATGTGAACATGAAGTGAGTTTGCCTACCATATGAATAGGCCAGTTTCTATGCACAGTGGAAAAGTGACCAATCATCCCTGTCAAGGCATGACTAGGATGATTTGTAACCAATAGGGTTTAAACTTTATCAACAATAAGGGCCGGAACACGTCAACAGCTGCAGAAGTAGAAATTTTGAGAAATCCAAGATGTTTTTTTCTTTCTTTTGCCTTTTCAAGATGATGAGCGTGCATCATAAATTTGTTCAGACCAGCCGTCCCACCTCATGAAAGTACTTATTAGAGTCTGAAGATTTATTTAAACGGCTGTCAGTTACTCATGGATGCCCCTCTTTATCAACCATAGACCAAAGCTGTGACACTCACTGGATGAACTGTAGGCCTTTCTGGATCTCTTGCCAGCGACTCCTTCGGTCTTGACACGCTCCAGACATGTTTGCGTGTTGAAATGTCCCCTCCTTAGTCAGACCCTGAAATCATCACATACAGTATTATGAAGACTTGTGAAAGGAGCAGGGGGGAAAAAAAGAAAACAATGAAGAATTACTTAATCCACATCTACAAGTTGTCTAACTGGTTGACTGGCAGATGACGCACTTGGTACAAGCAGGCGTCATATTACTGAAAGTCTTTACAGCTTCACCCACCCTGCCTATCTATTGTGCCCACAGCTTCCGCGTTAAGGAATGACGACACATGCGTAGTTCCGGAAACAAGGGCTACCGTTTTTATAAGCTCGCGGGCTGATAACGACACTTAAACAGGCCTTTTTTGCCCTCGAAGTTATAAAAAACACTTTGCAGATCTCACATCAGGAGTAGTGGGCTTTGTGCTTTAAGTTAACTGTTGTTACATGCAATTTCAAAGCGTGGGATCCATTATCGGACATCATTTCAATAGCAACAATATTGAAGATTTTTACGTCCGTGTTGCACAACTACGTAATTTGCATGTATATGACTAACAAGAATAAAGATTCGGAGCTAAACTGTTATTATTTATGCGACTATTTTTTGCACTTTACTTGTTTTATGATAATGGTCGCAGATGATACCGCCCAAATCAACCATCTGCAGTTGTAATAACTAATATTCAACAATTACAACGAAAACAACTGCTTCTGTTGTATTTACATCATTCTAAAATGATATATGTTAGGTTTAAAATTATCATTAATAACAAAGTAATAACCAGAAGGAAAGTGACTGCCAGCATTAGTCGACTCCGTTTGTGTTTCTTCAGCTAGAAAAGCCAAACTTGGGTTTTTTCCTCAAGACAACAAATGTGTTTTATAGCGAAAAGTTGTTTATCGGAGTAAAATTCGTATGAGTCAATGTTTGGAACAAGGAAGCTCTATGCACTGATGTGTCCGATAATGGGCACATTACATTTAGCGCACGTGTGTGCTACCCGCGGCTCGCGACCGCCGACTGTAGATTTCTCGTTAGCAATCATCACTCGCTAGCAAAGGTTAGCGATTGTCGCTCAGATACATTTAATACGAGCAACGAATATATCGGTTTTAATGTGTGATGATCAACAGTTCCTTCCGGTGCTGGAGTCTCAACGGCCTAGGCAGCCGTGTGACGTTTCCAAACTAAGTTTGTAGGAAGTAGAGTGAACCTAACAAAGCACAGGCATGTCTAAGTTGAACTAGTTCCCCAACGCAAACAATAGCGAGTAGGAGATGTTAAGCACCGTCCTTAGACATTCTTTATATCACACAATCGTTCACTAATGGCTGCTGTTCGTACTCACATGAATAGATCTGTATTCCAAACAAACCTCGCGTCGGTTACTTGAAAGGAGGGAAACTGATTTTTCGTTTTAGCTAAAACAACTTAACAAGATGTGCTGTATCCGCTGAAGGCCGCCCTGTACTTCTTCTTCTCTTCCCGGGGAGAGCAAACAGTGACTATAGCGCCGTGCTGCCCTCTAGAGATAGCAGTAGGAAGTGAGATTTCAACTAAAAACAACAAGACATTTCAACATCTTTTTCCATATTCAGAATAATATTGATCAAATTCACTTCACGGAAATAGTCATAGTTCGGATACAATGCAACATTTTTTTCTAACATTTGAAAATATATTGTGAGGATTGTTTGAATTTCCCCTATAATTGAGAAACAACCGCTATGTCTCTGCCTCTAACTCAAAATAATAATAATAATAATAATAATAATAATAATAATAATAATAATAATAATAATAATAATGAGAAAAAAACGAAAGAAGGCAAATGTTACGTCCTTAACAAACGTTTTCATCAGGGCTTCACAGCTTCAAGTCAAGCTTTTCCTGATGTCAATCTCAAATAAGCTGCAAAAGAGACTATCTATAAGAATAAGAATAACTTTATTGATCCCCAAAGGAAAATTCAGTTGTCTGTTGTCTCACATAATATATCACTAACAGTTATCTACTATTTACACAAGAGTTATAAAGTCTAATGGCTGTTGGTACAAAAGATCTTCTGAGACTTTCTGTCCTGCAGCGAAGAGGGAGGAGCCGTCCACCACCATTGGCCCTTTGGTCCATCAAGGTGTTGTGAAGTGGGTAATCCATGTTCTTTAGAATAGACTCCACCTTCCTCAGTGTAAATCACTCCACCACATCCTCCACTGAGTCCAGCTTGAGTCCAACCACAGAACCAGCCTTTTTCACCAGTTTGTTCAGACGTCTTGCATCTTTGTGTTTGATGCTTCCTCCCCAGCATATTGCAGCGTAGAACAGAACACTTGACACCACAGACTGATAAAACATCTGCAAAATACAGAATATTGAGTAAAATACGGTATATCACATCAAATTGAATTAGGTCAATTTGAATACTTCATGTTGAGCTGAAGTGAGGATCCATTCAAAATACTGTTATCAAGTTAGATTGATAACAGTTTGTCTTTATTAATCATTTATTGTTTAATTACATGGAACCTGTAGCAGAAACGACCAGTTTCTCATCCCAACCCGACAAAAGAATGTAAAACCTTTTGCTCTTCACACTCTTGTTTTTCCTCTTGTTTTTATTTCTTTGTCTCTTTGTTTCCGCTTAGTTCCCTCAAAGCTGATTTTCTTTTTGTCTTATTTTTTTCCTAAGTCTTTTAAGTTTTCCACCACGTGTTTATTCACGTTGATTTTTCTTTAACATTGTCTTAGTTCAAGTTGTGAAAATTTAACTTTTTGTGTGCATAACAATTCAAGATTAAGCCTTTAATTGATTTTTCTTTAACTTCGCAAAGCTATCGTTGAAAAAGTCTCAACTGGTCATTGAGCCTCTTTTTCTTGGTTATCTGCATGATTGTCAAGTCACCTCTGAACGCCACCCAGCAGGCTCAAAGTCATCCTCTGAGCCAGAGTGTTGCAGTGAGACCAAAGGAGCATCAAAAGAATACATTTGACGCTGTTTTTTGCATTCAGGCCTGTGTGCTGTAAATCCTGGCCAGTCCTTCGCCTGACTTCGGTCCTCTTCAGAGCTGAACCTCGCGAACCAGTAGCCTGGACCTTCTGAACCTGCTCCACCTTCTCCAAGGACCAGTCTCACTTAAGTATGCAAACCTCCAGAGCTCCAAAAAGGGCTGATGCTGTCTTATGCTTCATAATGCAAATAACCACTTCCAAATTTATCTTTTCAGCAAAGTTAATATAGGTTAATATGTTAGAGCATATTCATTCACTATCATTAACTTTAGTAATCCTGACTCAGAATCTTTCATTCATCTGTTATTATCTATATCCATCTTATCCTCATGTATTGCATGGATGTTGTACCATCATTTATCCTGTAATAAACAGATCATTTATTTTTCTGAGTTCTTGTCTGTTAGTATTCTTCCAGAAGTGGAGTCCCTGAAATGAGAATTTTGGCTTGAGATATGAGATTGATTAATTTAAGATTAACTTAATGTTTGATTTCTGAATTAAACTTTTGTTTTTCTTTATTTTCCCTCCATTAAAGGTGGGTGGTGCCCCTTTCAACGAGTGCATAAATGTCATAAATTAAGATTATTATCAAATATTAATCTTTATGTATTATAAATTCAAATCACTACAAACCTCTGGTCAAAATCTCATTAGTTTGGTTTTTGATTTTGATGATAAATTTAGATATTTTAGAGTGCATGCAAACTCAAACTTGGACTTTTTTTTCTTTTTCTTTTTTCTCCATCATAATCAGTTTCTCTTTGTTTCATTTGTTGCGATACAAATACGTCAGCAATTGATGCAAATCTAAAAGACCTACAGATTCTCAACTGGAGTGGGAAAAACCTGTATGTAGTAGTTGTCCTCTAGTTGAAAAAATCACAATATAAATCAGCACAATTTTTTAATGGGTTGTGAACAGACTGAAACTGGTGAAGCCTTGCAATTGCCTGCTCAAATAAGCAAGACTGACCATTTCTAGACTGCATTTAACAGTTGTAAAAAGGGATTAAATCTTGAAAAAAAATTAGTTAAGAAGTCAATCTTTTTATTATCGCAGGCCTTAATTACTGGTCACATGATGAGTCTAAGCTGTAGTGCAGTCATCCACCACTAAATGAAGCTGGAGCTCTGCTTTATGTCCACTACTATCATGCCATAATGCTATTTTACTTTTAAACAGCTGACAGATGGTGTCTCATAGCACAGTGTGTGTGGCTGTGCTTTGATTTAGAATATGGAGATAAAGTTACACGGGAAGACTGAAGGTTTTGGTTTTCACTCTACTTGAGTTAGCCACACTCAGTGAACCAGTTTGACATAAGACTCTATTATAACATGTTTGACTTTTCAGCATTTTTTCTGGCTCAAAGACAGTCATTTCAACTCAGAAATGAGTTGCTTCCGAAGACACACCCCCCCCCCCCCAACACTTCTTGGGGATCAATCTCAGCTGGATGACTGACAGTGTTCAAGTTTTTGAAGTGATAGCATGATAACTTATGCCAGAAAACACCATTTACATTATCATTAAATCATTTACATACAGGAGAAAGTGGCACACTCTCTGATATCTGATTTCAGGAGCTTTGAAAGTGCTGATGTTCTAAATAACAAACAAAAAACAAATGAAAAAAAGTATTAAAATAAGAGAAAGACAGAAAAGGGTTTCTGTTTAACAGCGCTACATCAAAGTCTCTTTTTGAAAATCCTACCACCAGCAGACAGTTAAATCTGATAAAAGGCTTTTAAACTTTTGCACACTTTTTTCTTCTCTGAACATATAAATCAACATATTTTCTTTCATAGCTTTCTGTCATAGGTTCTGACGTCAGCTCATCCATGATGCATCTACAGTTTAATCAGCCTTTCCTTTGTCGTGGCACATTTTTCAGTCAGCGATATGATCGAAATGGCTCTTGGGTGTGTTATTGCAATGAACAGGTTGAGCAGAAAATCAGTGATACACAAAGATGGAGAGACATCACTCCACCAGAAGGTGGCGCTAATCTCACTGTGTATACTGAGGAGCTGATGCACACAGAAAGAAACAGAATATGCCCCCTGTTATCAGGACCCAGAGCATGTGTCTGTTTTGATATAGAGGCTCTGACATTACTGCGTTATGAATGACAATGGAGTGGAGCTGGAAATACACATCCAGGAAACATAATACAAAGATGAAATGCAATGATAGGACACAACAAAACCATTTTGAAATCAGCTCTGCAATTTGTCAAATAAAATATCTCTACTGAGACACTTGGAGTGCTGCTCGGTAAATCACACTGACAATAATGATGGCTGCAGCATGTGTGGTGTGGTTTACAGAGAGAGGGGACGCTCGGTTCACCACAGCGGTATGTTTATTCACAGAGGGAACAAGATGATTCAGATGAGTGCTTTAATAGAGTTTGATTACTTATGTGCAGGTCTGGAGGTAGAACCATGACGTGTTTCCTCTCTGAAATTCTGCACATTAGTTCTACCTTGCTCAAAAATCCTCTGTAATCACAAAAGAGATGTACTGAATCCATTTCCAATACTCATTTACAACAAACACTACATGCAGGATGGGATAAGAAAAACACCCGGAGGCTTCAATATGATCTGATCTTATCAGGGCAGGTAGTACACAACTGCAACACTAAACCTATAGATGCTTACACCAGCTATACAGGGCAGCAGATGCAGTACATACCTGTTTACCTTGGCCTCTAGGGGGTGTATGTACTCACAAACACTGGATGAGCCATTGTCCTCCAGTGATGCTCAGGAGATTACTCAATCAGCCTGTAAAGAAACCTCTCTACTCAAAGCTACACCCTCAGAGCAGAGGTGAGAGACAGACTGAGCAGGAGTTCAGCTGCCTGCTCTGAGCCATGGCCACATTTTACCAGATATTTCTGCTGTTATCAGGTAAGATGACTGTGTTCTTTGTAGTTAAGGTGCATAAAATGAATAGGGGGAGGGTCTGTTTAGGGGCTTAAGGGAGTTCCCCCCAGGTTACGGCTGTCTCCAGGTAAAAATGCTTGCGTCTACTTGTGCACAGAGGTGTTTCTTACACGCTGAGCTCTTTTCACATGTTTCTTGTTGAGCCTGAGTCTGCTAATTTTGGAGGTTTAAAGTAGAGTTCAGCTTCATTTACTTCCATTATGCACTCTAGTACACCACTTACCCAATTCAAAGTTAATTATGTGCTTAAAGTCTTCAGAGAGGTGTTGAAACTGTTTTTATAAGGTGTTGCTGTGTGGTGTTATGTGCTTCATTTTTTCTGTCTTCAATCACTGACACCAACAAGGTTTATAATAACAGAAAATTGTCTCTATTTACCCTTTAAAAATAAAACTTTTAATCTTAAATGTGGGTCAGGTGCACTGCCTTACTGGTTTAAATAATTACTTGTAGGTAGGGCTGTCTTGAAAGGTGTGGTGGTGAGCAAACAAAGGGTGGAGAAACAAAAAGGACTATCTAAATCTTAAACATGATATGCTGCAGTTAAAAAGGCTTTTTTTTTTTTCTAACAGGGGACAAAGAATGAAGGACAGGGCTTTTCAAATGTAACAGTTCCCTTGGGTGTAAACTAAATTTGATATTTTCCCCTCCTCCTCTGATGGCCATTTCTCAAAGCAGTGGCTTTACCCTCTGCGATGATGCTGAAGTCCCAGCGGGCAAAAAGGAGTTTAGTGGAGTTTGCGGGGGTTGTCCAGTGCAGCACAGGGATCACTCCTCTGGCATACCTGGGGTATGGATGCTACTGTGGGCCTGGAGGTCAAGGTCAACCCAGAGACGAAACAGACTGGTGAGGTTTAAAAATGCAACACTTTCAAGGCTGTTTCTTTAGACTGAAATCTCACAAGAACACCTGATGATAGTCTTAAACACTCATTTGACACTCATATCCTACCCACAGGCAATTTCATGTGGAGTTATACTGTGTTGTCTAATGTTGCAATCCAACCCTGTCTTTGAAATAGCCCTGGCAGGATAAAATACCACCGCCCTGCATCTTTGACTTGTGTCATCTATTAAAGCCTTAAATCAAAGTTGCACTCAATCTGTGTGTCTGCAGGTGTTGCTTCAGACATGACTGCTGTTATGGAGAAATTGAACTTCAAGGATGCCAATCCAAACTAGGCAGTTATAGCTGGACATGTGAGAACAACATGCCTCATTGTGGTGAGACCTTCTTATACGCATGCTGATGGCATATTTGAGCGTTCGAAACTTTGAAAGCACAAGGCGGCGTGTTTATATCATAATTTTCTTGCATTTAAATCTTATGAGTCAGAGCAATTTCTGCTTAAAAATAGCAACACTTAATTGTTATTAAATGTTAAGCACGTTAAGCCCGGGTGTGTCCTGAGTGATGGCCAAGAATAACATGAGCACTTAATGAAATCTACCACCCTATAGTAATAATCCATGACTGCTTATAGATGGTGTTTATGTCAAAATCAACTCTTTTGACTGTGTTGATAAGCAGCTATTTTCTTTGCTCTTGAACAAAACACATTTTCTTAAGTCGGTGCTTTAAACTGTAGAAAAATATTTTAGCTATTCTATAAGAGCTGCATAGAACAGGTAAACTTCAGGAAAACATCTTCTTAAATCTTTAAAGACATGAGCTTAAAAGATTTAAATGTTGTTTTTCTTTGAGTAAGAATAATCACACTAGAATATAACTTGCCAGGAGTTTAAGAAGATATGATTAGTGGAGGCAGGAAGGACATTCAAGCCATCCATTCATGTGTGAAGTGTAGGCATGCATGCACTTAGGTGTAGGTGTGTTTGTTTGTCTGCGCGAGTATCTTTAAACACACATGAAGCTATTCTAGTCATTAAAGTCTGCACCTTTTTTTAATCTATCACCAGATATGCAGACTTGTTTTTGATATTTATTTTAAAAAGCTTTAATTTTGCTTTGAAATTGTCTTTTCAGTCAATCAATCAATTGTAGTTCACAACAATTTCTGAAGACGTTTCACACAAGGAGGTAAACTGCCTCTGTTATTCAAAGCTCCTGTAAGGAACTCTTGGTTTGTACAGTCTCTGTTTTTTTTCTCCTACATGCTTTAAGAGCATCTTCAAATTTATCAATAATTGTGAATGATTCATATGGAAACTGTTAAAACAGGGCTGGGTCAGCTGACACCCTCCCACTAGTTTCAAACATCAAAAATCAGGATATAAAAATTGTCAGACTTGTTGTTGATGGTCTTGTTTGTTTTTGCTTGCTCAATGTGAATTTCAGTTAATTACATTAACGTGAAAAAACGTATGTCTTGCAAATTGCAGGAGTGAAATACATTTTTCAGATGATAGTGAAACTGTTTCAAGCTTTACAATCAAAAAAGTGTGACGATATTTCCTGGGAAACTTCAAATTTGTACGAATTCATGTTTGTGTTTGTTTGCAGATGATCTGGAGGACAACTGCGAAAAGCTGATTTGCGAGTGTGACAGGAAATGTGCCGAATGTTTGGGAAAAGCACCGTATGACAAAGAAAATATACTCTGGCCTGATATTTTCTGTTCAGAAGACCCACCAGTATGTAACAAAACAATCCAACAGTAGAGGCCACATGTGACAGTAATATTGGTAATGTTACTGTGACATTGTCAAAGACACTTGTATTCTTTTCTCTTCTAAAATCATTATCAGATTCTCCTTATTGACTTTAAATGAACATTTAGTGTTACTGTGCGTTCACATCAAGCACAAATTAAATCAAATACTCCCTCAATTCGCACCACCAGGATAGAAAGAGCGTCTAATCACGTCTTTGCATTGACTTTACATGTAATTCATTCATGTGAATAATTTATCTTGTGCTTGGTGTGAACGCCCCTTTAGAGGTTTAATACATTTATTTTGATTTTGTATACATCAAATATTTTCAAGAAGGGAGTAATCAGATTGCTGCTAACTCAAACATTGTGCTCGATTGCTGCTTGAGTTTTTTTTTCAGAATATGTGTGACTTCGTCTCTCCACTGAGTAAAAACAAATATTAGCAACTGAGTTCATTGTTAAACTGGGCTTTTTCTCTTGTTATATCGAAGAGCAAATTTTTTTTTTACCTCATTTGACACTAAAATGTTCTTTTATTGTTTTGATAAAATGACACAATAGAGACACATAGTTGAGCTTGTAACAGTTTTTCCATGAGGGCTGTTATAGCCACAAAACAGCTAAGAGGTGTTATCCTTATTGATACCCCTATTATTACTCACTTTATGCATGGTAACACCTCTGTGTGCACAGGTATTGTGTTAAAATCTCTGTGTAAGCTCTGAATAGTACCTGTATACACAAAGAAGGAAATCATTGTGTCTGCAGCCAAAAGCAAATATGGACCTGCTGCCAACATACTGTATGTAACAGATCCCTTTTGTCCTCCTCGTCCTATTATACTCCTTTTGTTTGTCCGTTTTTGAGGCCAGTTTTCTTTTGCAATATGAGCCGTTCAACAAGTACTTTCCCAACAAAGTCGAAATGTAAAGTTGAAGATGAAATTGTTACTAAACCTCATTAGTTGAGCAGCGTTTAGAGACAGATCTGTTTGAAAGGTGGTCTGTAGGTCCCCGATATTGATTTAAAATGAAGGTTAACTTTGCACTGACTGATCTGTTATTTTCATTCAGTGCTAGTTGAAATTATTGTCTTGTAACTTGAATCAGTGTTGTTAATAAAATAAATCAATGTGTCAGTTCTCAAGAAGTTTGCATGGAATCTGTGTACAAACATACACTGGTTGAAAACCTTTTGTTTTAGGTTGACGGAATTATCCTGCTGGTACACATTCATGTTAGATGTGGTTCCCTTTGCAGATATCATAGCGGACATTGTGATTATTTGTACATATCCAATGAATATGTGTTATATAGTACTTCTACCATGTTAGTTACAATTTTCAGCCAACAGCTGCGTTTTATTATCAAAGACAAGATTTATTGGCAAAACCAATAGAAAATTGTTAAATTACTAAGTAAAGACTTTCTTTCATTAGATGCAATCCCGAATGGGCCATAATGATAGAGATAGATAGAGATATGATAGAGATAGTTGATAGAGACATGACGAAAGAGACGACACACAATTGAATTTCCTTTTGGGATCAAAAAAGTTCTTCTTATTCTTATTCTTAATAATTACATGTAGTTTCTTGATTAGCATGCTAGCTTAAAGAGGGGGTATTATGCTTATTTGTTTGTCTTTATATCATCCCTCTGATAGCTTCTTTGCTGCTTTACACGATTTACTGTTCAACAAATTCTTCACGTTTCAGACTGCTGTCTTCAAAAACCTTCAGCCTCTGCTAAACCTCAATTTAGCTACTGTCTCTCAGCATTCCAAACCGAGCATTCTGGAAGCCTCCTTCACTATTGCCATGCCACAAAGTGTTTTTTGATATATACAAAATCAAACAAATGACCCTTTTAAAGAGATTCGCTACATAACAGCTTTGGTGAAAAGGCTTACACCATATGATTATAGGTATTAAACACAGGCAGAAATAAAGCAAAAAATCATTTTAATAACTCACACAGTACACATGACCAGTTTGGTTATGTTCAAACCTTATTATAGTTAAGTTATTATACTTAACAGCCTACCAAATTTGATCGGACGCCCATTCTATATGTGTTTCCTAACTTATGTGATGTAACAGTAATTGTGGTGTACATTTAAATTCCTTTGTGTTTTATAACAAAGAAAAAACAGTTCTCACTAATCACAACTTCATCTTGCTGGCCTTTTAAGTAAATATTTGTCCTCCAGTATACTGTAATACCAATCTGCTGCTCCTTTAACATACAACTTAATCAGTCTGAGGTCATATATCATCCTGTTTTTGGAAGCTTTTATTTTTCTTTACTGAAAATAATGCACACAACTGCTTGTGTGATTATTTTGGAGGGGTTATGTTTCCATACATGTTTTTTTTGCTAAAGTACACTTTTGTTTAAATCACCATTGTGGTGTGTTTTGCCAAGTATTAAATAACTGAGCTTTCAAACACGGTCTTGTTTACACCTGGAGCTCAGTAAGGCTCAATATGACGCTAATACATATTTTAGTAAGGTGTGTTCCGCATGATTTGATCTAAATGCCACATGGGTATGTGTTATGAGAGCAAACAAGTTGAGGAGGAAACAATCAGACACAGACAGAGAAAGGGTTGCTGGAATGTCTGAGACATTCACACTACTTGAGAGGTAAAAGGAAAGACAGAGAAGTCATGGATCACAGGCAAGTTGAAATTAAGGTGTTTGTAGTTAATGCTACTCCCCATGTCCGTTTATGAAATACCTATCAAAGCTGGAAAAGCTAGCAAGGTTGGTGGATTTGTAAATTAGAAAATGGTTAAAAGACCCTCAGCAGATTATAAGGAAAGACATACTCTCGCTACCCATGAATAGTTTAACAGATGAGCTCAAGTGTATAATAGTCAGGACAGAGATGCTGATGTTCGGGAGCCAACCTAACTGACCTTAACTTGATCCAGCTGGAGGGAGGAAGAGGAACCTAAGACAGGCAGTAAAGGAAACAAAGCAGCTTAGCCATACAGAGTGAATATATGATGCAACAAGGCTGGGGGCTCGAGACAAAAAAAGCCACTCCAAAGGAAAGAAAGGAGCAGGCTCAACAAGAGGAAGTACGAGTTGTAGAAAGACTGTGGCTCAGGCTCAGTGGGGACCGCGGATAAAGCAGGAAAGAGTAGAAAAGAGCTGGAGGGACCTCTGGAGGAGGATGGAGGAGAACAAATGAAACTCCTGATAGGAGCTACTTATGATGTGGCTGGAACAGTGAACAGAGAGGCACCCATCATGACCACGGTGTCCAGAGACAGTCACTTTAAGGTTTATTCTGTCAGGCTGCAGGCCTAGTTTTTGGAAAGGTCAGTGAATAACCAGATTTTCAAAAGTGTTGGTAGGAATTCAAAGTTGGAGATGACAGGTGAATTCAGGAGGAAATCATGACCTCCCTGTCCTCTTTCTAGCATCTCGATTTACAAACTCTCTCTCTTTTTATTTCTCTCTGCTCTCCTTTTTTGCCTTATTTAAATGGAGGAGTGGGGGAGAAGTCGAGTGTTCAGTCCAGGGGTGTAGCACCAAATTCTGGGCCCTGCACACTGTCAATGTCAGTGGGCCCCTATCCATGTCAGTGCATGAGGCGCGTGAGCAAAAATAAATAAGGATTTTCATGGGCTCCCTGGGTAGTCAGGTCCACCACCCCCCACCCACTTCCACACCTATGATACAGGCTGATCTGGTAGAGGTAAGCTGCTGCTTCATTCTGGCTCTGTTTTCCCTGTTCTCTTTCAACATCTCTTGACACACTTTCTTTTCAGTCTTTTCTTATCTTTTTTTATTTGTAGTCCTTTTGAGAGTATAAGGTGAGAGGTCAGAGCTGAAGAGTTTGGGTCCTGTGATGCCAGAGCCTCCCTTAGGTATCTGGACCAAACTTGATGAAACACCAATGAAGGGAGCGGCCCACTGATGAACCCCGGTGATGTACTGTCTCTTGCTGCCCATCTATCCTGGTGATCTTCATGCTTGGGTGTTAAAGGGACATAAGGGGCAGTGTGTGTGCTACTTAGAGGTAGAGCACAAATACATGGATAAATGTGTGGTTGGATGGGTTTCACTGAGATTATCATCCTCATCGGCACAAGTTTACGTGAAACAAAAGTAAGATTTAAAGCAGTAGATGCAAACACTGACTTTAAAGAGTAGAAGGAGTAATCACCTCCTGGCTTCCCCCTCTAGGGGGCATACGGGAAGAAAAACACTGGATTAAACTTCGTCCAATGGTGATGCTCAGGGGATTACTCAAACGGCCTCTAAAAAAAGCTCTCCACTCACAGCTACACTCTCAGAGTAAAAGTGAGGGACACACCGTGCAGGAGTTCAGCTGACTGTTGTGAGCCATGGCGGGGTTTTACCGGATACTTCTGCTGTTCTCAGGTAGGATGACTGTTTACTTTGTGGGTGAGGTAAAGTTGATGAATGGAAATGGGAAAGAGAAGCTTGGAAGACACAGAGGAAGTGAGTCTGAGTTACTGTTGTGTTTGGAGAAAGTGCTTGTGTTTAGTTATGCACAGTGGAGTGTTATTCAGGGTTATTAAGGGATCAAGTGCAAACAAAATTAACTCATTTACATATTGTTTTAATTCTGAATACAGCTCAGTTTTTTCTCTCTAAAAAGAGTGGGCAAAGCAAAGTTTGTTCTTCTATAATGCACTTTAATACAAGAATGAATCAAAGCAGAAGTTAATTTTGCTTTTAAGTCTGTAAGAGAGCAAACCTTGAGGATGTAATTCCCAGGACTTAAACCAGACCCTCTATGTACTCTTTCAGAAGACTATATTTGATAGTTTTTCCTCTCCTCCTTCGTTGTTTAGGTCTCTGTGCTGTGGCAGTGGCCTCTGTGGCGACCCGTCAGTCCCCACGGACAAAAAGGGGTTTACTGGAGCTGGCAGGAGCTATCAAATGCAGCACGGGGAAGTCTGCCCTGGCTTACATGATGTATGGATGCTACTGTGGGCTAGGAGGTCAAGGCTGGCCCAAAGACAGAGCAGACTGGTGAGGCATGCACAAAATACATCTGCACAAAAATACAACAATGTGAAGGTTTTTTGTTTTTTTATCTAACACGTACACCAGATGATAGTCTGCACCAAAACGTTAACTCTGACTTGACACTCTATATGCACTCCACCTATATATTATGTCATGGAAAGTTGTAATTCTCTATGCAATGGTGGTGATTAGCCCCCGGCTTTATGCCCTCTGCGCACCCGTGATTCCTGCCTCCTAGGTGCCTCTGGTTCCTCTCAGTCACACCCCCCAATCCCACTCCAGCACACACTGTTTCCGTTCAGCCTGAACCACAAATGCTGTGTGATGGGATGGAAGGAGGGAATCATTTCCAAATCCAGCACATTCACAGCTTCTAACAGCTACTCTAAGACAGGCCCAAAAATTCCACACCCAAGTCTTAATTGGTGTCTGCTGCTTTTCCGTCCTCACCACAAGACCCCACCAAACCATTCAAACCGGGTTAACTGCTAAGTATCGGTTGTGAGAGTCATGTGGTGATCTGGCCTTGTCTTTAAAATAGCTTTAGTGGGATACAAACCTCACTACTGGAACTATTCATCCTCAGACTCTGATTCAGCTCATGTTAACAAAGTTCAGCCTTTAAATTAAAGTTGATGTCAATCTGTCTGTAGGTGTTGCTTTAAACATGATTGCTGTTATGGAGAAGCAGAACGTCTGGGATGCCAGACCAAAACACACCAGTATCACTGGACGTGTGAGGACAAGACAGCTGAGTGTGGTAAGGCCTTTAGGTTTTTGATGTTTTGAAAGGATGCAAGAACCTCTCTATCGCCACTGTTATTGATAGTAGTGGCAAAAAACTGACACTGTCTGTTCTCTGATGATCAGAGGAAAATCTAGGGGTGTCCCAATCCAATATTGATATCGGATATCGGTCCAGTATCAGATTATATCGGCCTGCATCTAAAATCTCCAACATCAGCACTCCAATACAAGCAGTCCACTCCATTCCAGTCTCTGCTCCGGCACCTTAACCTAGGAGGAACCGGATCCAGCATACAGAGCCCATTATCACAACAACAGTGTGTACTAAGGTACTAACAAAGTGGCAAAGAATAGGGGTGATGTCGGCCATGTGGCAGTATTTTTAGTTAAAGAAAGATGTTGCAGCTGAGTGCAAAACTTGTCATGCACAAGTTTTTGCCAATATCAGATCAATATCAGTATCGGCCAGTACTGAAGGCTACAATATTGGTATTGCATCAGAAGTAAAAAAGTTGTATCGGGACACCCCTATTTTTATTTATGGTTTTTAAGAATTTTATAGGGATCAGAAAATTAGACCAGCAACTGCAGGCATGCCTAGACTGTGAGACAGGATCCTCAATGTTGTCTGGCCTAAAGGATGCTCACTGAAACCAACATCTTTGCCACAAATTTTACACTAAGTGATTTTGCCTCAGTGCAAAACTTTTGCAAGCATGATAATCACAGAAATATCACAGTTTTCTTGTAACGCTCTTTGAAGGGTGTCATTAATAGCGTAAAATGTTGTGTTTTGCAGATGACTTGGAGGAGAAATGTGAAAAGCTGCTGTGCAAGTGTGACAGAGATGCCGCCAAATGTTTGAGAAAAGCACCGTTCATCTCCAAGTATTCTGTATGGCCAGATTTTCTCTGTGGTTATGAACAGCCGATGTGTAATATTTTCTCATAAAAGACAGACACAAAAATGCCTATTTGGGTGGTCTCACATTGGGGACTTGGGCCAGAATCCAAGCACACAATCATATATTACCTCTATATGGCATCACAACTATTTAACCCTGTTGGTTGCAAACCTGCTCAGCATGGGCCTAACTCATCTTTAAGCTGGTCTTGGATGTCATAGTAAGGAGACTGTCAACAGGGTCAATGTTGGCATCTTAAAATAATAAAAACATCCAAAGAAGTAGAATGGACTAGAATGTCTGAATCAAATATGAATATGGCCCAACTGATCAACTGAGTAGTTGACAGGTTAGATTCTTCCTAGTGAATCTGCAAACCAACTATGTGCATTTCTTTCACTTACTGTAACAGACAGTGTACTGCAGTTTGATGTTACCAGTGTAAAAGCTGACCAACAGGGGAGAGAGGAGGAGGAAGCTATATCTGTACAAATCAATCATGCCGAATGAGAAATTACCCTTTGTGGTTTGTGTGCCTCTTGTAAATATTACTCTTGCATATAGTCAAAGACACTTGTATTATGTTTTTTCTTTGATTTTTTTTTGTTCTTAAAGTGAAATCTAAAATCACTTGAGGTATCTGAGCAGTTAAACATCACTGTGTTTTGTGTGTATCAAATAATGTCCTTTTATTAAAGTTTGACAGAGTAACTGAGGCTTATATCAGCATTTTTCCACGACCCACTTTTTTCTCGGCTGAAGCTCAATCCAGGATCAACCTGAAGTTTAGAGAAGGAACAATCAGGTTTGACTTATCTGTTCAAACACTGTGCAGAGGACTGCCTCTGAGGTTGACTCCCTGTGCTAGTTTGGGAATGTGAGTGACTTTGCTTCATTCTTTCAGTCAAAAAAAAAGTAAAACAAATATCTTGCAAGTTAATGGGCAAACAGAGGTTTGCTTGTCCTATTTTAAATCTGCAGTGACACAGCTTTCTTTCATTTCTTTCAGACTGACTATTTTCAGACTGTGTTTGAGGCTAAAACTGTTCCTGTAACGTATATGTGAGAACTCACACATGTAAATGTCCTTGTATGGTTTTGACAAAATCTCACCATGGTGGCAGATAGCTGCGCTTAAAACAACTTCTCCAAAGAGCTACAGTCAGAAAATCGCTAATAGATGATGTCATACAGCCTTTATATTAGTCACTGAATGTGCTGACTACTTCTTCTACAGCACTAAAAGAAGAAAACACTTCCCGTTAGACTTCTCTGCATAATAATGTCATCAAACCAGTTCGACACCACTTGGAGAGAAATGTGTGGAAGTCTAAATGCCTGCAGCATTTTTACAAACACTGAGCTTGAAACACGCTCAGGATGCAGAGTCCAGTTTTAACTGATCATTATTTCATTATTATTAAGGTTTGATTAAAAATATATAGATATATATTCTTGAAGTTTCTTGTTATTGGATGTGGATGTGGATGTTTTTCCTGCAGTAAATGACTCTATTTCGGTCGACCACAGTTGGTTTTGGGTTTGCCCAGGAACCTCCTTCAGATCATTTTGGTTAAAGTGCCACAGTCAAACGAAAGCCTTCATTTCCCCCCTAACGCCCAGTAAACAGTGTAACTGTACATAATGTCCTCCCAGATGTTTCTACACACACCAGCATTTCCTGTGATCCCCATCCATGAGTGCACACAGGGAACACAGCCACTTTGTTTGAACGAGTGCACCGCTCGTGAATGTAGACTGAAATGGGAGATGATGCCGGGCGCAGTGTCCAAAGTCCACGACTGAATATGAGAATCTGGGTCATGGCCTGCAAACACTTGTTCAATTGTGTCCAACCTTTAGCGGGAATGAGCTCTGAAGTTATAGAAGTCATGTTCTTCACCTGATACCAACAGGCTGAGGGTCCTGCTTTTCCTGTTAGTGTTTTTTCTTGCTCTGCTCTGAACACCTGAAATAAATTAGAATTCAACAGTCTGACTTTACTTTGATCTTGTCTCCCTTCTTTTTTTTTTTTTTTCAGTTGTGAACATTATATAATACCTGTCTGAGTCAGTTCTTGCTGCTCTTTCAAGAATCTTGTCTACACCTCCTTTGCAGGGGCATATCCAGACTTTTTCATGGGGTGCCCCTGCTGGTTTATCTGGGGGGTCCATGTAACACACAGTCCCAGTTAATGTTCGTAGCATTTCCAGGCTTACCTATCTTAATTTAGGGATATTTAGGAGAAAACAGATGCAACTTATAATCCATCTGCTTCTAGTTCTCCAAGAACTCAAAATAAGATGCGTCAAATAAGATCTAAGTCTCCTTAAAGGTGGGGTAGGCAGGATTCTGTTACAGAAGCATCTTTTTTGTGGTGTATATACAAGAAAGCTTTTAATATCAGTCAATAGCTATTAGTTATTGATGACATTTGGGAATACAACAATATTGCTGTGTTTTGTTATGTCTGTGTAGTCAACACTTTAAATTTTTTGGAGCGGCCCACTCTTTCTGACTGTATACAAAGCCATTCTCCATCTCCCTGACCTGATTGGTTGTGAGGCAGACGCTGCTCCCTCATGTTGTGAGGCACGCTATACTTCCTCCAATAATGTGCACGAGCCCAAACAAAGTTAGGGTGCTACAACATCCAACCAGAAAGAACAGAAAACACAAGCAAGAAAACAAAGTAAATACTGGAGACTCTGGTGGAACAATGGGCGCTTAAAAGAGAGATAGACCGGACAAGAGCTAAGAAGTCAGGTCAACATCAGCATCAGCAACAGAAGTGTTTCTTGTCAAACAGGACCTGCTGCGTGTTGTAGTGCTGCTAAACTGTTTACCTAGGGTCCTAGAGTTTGTCACTTTATCCCTGTTTTAGAAGTCCTGCAAACATTGTGTTTGCTGGTAGTCTGTTGGTATCTACAGTAGCACCAATGTTTCACTTTCACGTTGACTGGGCTCCATTTGAAATTATCTGAAGTATTTATCTGCATTATATCTGAATTTAATTGGAAGGATACAAGCAAGTACAGGCATCTGTTTGTGGGCAGGGCTTGCTGGAGCAGAGGCGGAGGAGCTGAGGGGAAAACTGGTTGGGAGGGGTAGTGTTTACATTCAAGATTTCTCCCAAAAACTGCAACTTCCTCAGATCCTGCCTACCCCACCTTAAACAACCAGCTGAATCAAAATGTCAAAAAAGTTCTGCAATTTGTTGAATCATTGGCCAGTCAGATGGCCCAACTTTTCATCTATTAAAACCAATCACAGTACAAGATTGTGGGGTGGTGCGTTTGTGCAGGCCTATTTTGCTGTCACATGTACAGCTATAAGTTTTGTTATCAGATTTTTGTCATCTCTTGTATATACACTACATTAGATGATTCATACCATCCTGTGTTTATTTCTACAGCATGGTGAAAACGTCATAGAAGATACGTTGTCTTTGTTCCTGCTAACTGGTTGGAACTGTTTGATTGACACAAGTTTAGCTAATGGCTTAAGCTTCAACATACAATTTTTCATGACCTCTCCAGTGTGGGATCATGCATCCTGTTTGACCAATTGTCTGCTTGAAACAGCTTAAGGAATCTCATATTAACATTTCTCAGTGAGTGCATCATGCCATCCTGGTAGGCTGAGCTGACAGAACCTGTTAGTGCACTACGTCTCCTATAATCAACTGTTTGGCTCTCAAGTTGAATGGAGCATGAAGTTTTGGCTGAAAGTGCTCAAATCATAAACAACAACCATGTGTGCAACAAAGTCTGACTTCTTACCAGAATTAAATCTACTCTACTCAGGCAGGACTTATACTGTATGGTTGACTAAAAACATAGAGAGCTTTGATTTTATTCATCTCAATACTTCCCACACAAGATTTACTCGACTATTTGTATCATATTGTTTACCTAAAGTCAGTCAATGGGCTGTATCCTCTGCATTTGTTGTGTAAAAATTTCTATTGATTCTAGGATAGTATCCACCCACACAAATGGAGAAATCGATGTGTGTGCAGCCAAAAGCAGATTTGTATCTGCTGCCAACATACTGCATATGTAACAGATCTTTTTATTCTCCTCTTATTCTATTTTGAAGAGTAAGTGTAGGTATGTCAGGATGAGGAGAAAGGCAGAGGAGGAAGAATAATGGAAACAAAGCTTAAAATGGTTGTTCCATCTGAATAAAAAAGGTGACTAAATAAGGATTTTCCTACAAATATTCAATGAAAAAACACTTATTTGAGGTTATTTTTCTGATCAAGTGACAATATTGAGTGAGAAAAGTGGGATTCAACCTGATATATTTGCCTCTGTTAAGCATTACTACCGTTTTATTTTAGCCTGTACTTCAACTGTAGACAATACAGAATCATTTGAGTATCCTCCATCATAACCCAACATTTCCACCAGGGGGCAGATTTGCAGTATTTAATGAGCTGTAATGGCAAGAGATGTTTAAAAATTGTTCAGAGCAGTTCTGAGCCGTAGTTAGTAATATGGTGTCAGATAATCTCAGAAGCTGAGGTGAAGAAGCTTTAACTTCTGCAAGAAGTGACACGCAGCCAATTAGCTCCATTTTCTCAGGGTATATGTGTGTGTGTGTGTTTTTTAAATTGTGCTTAGGACTGCACATTTACTGCATTGTGTTGTTCCCTAATTGGAGGGGCAGGTCTGACAGTCTCAACAGGGAATATATGCTTAGTGTTTCTCCAAAAGTCCCCCCAACCCACACATGCACGTACACTGAGATGCAGAAAAGCTGTTAAAAGTTTGATCATTAGAATATAAGGAATGCAGAAACTTTTCCCTGTCTGAAATCTAAGCTGCCGTGAAAAACCATTAAATTCATCAACTGCTTTTGTTACCTTGTTGGAGAAAGTGCCACACTTATGTTTTATGAACAGGAGATCGTGTAATGATAGGTTTACAACTTCATGGTCAGCAGGGGTTTATGATTGCACTCTTACCACATTATTATGGTTTGTTTCACTGCTGGCCTTGGATTTTTTTTTTTGTTCTTACTGACACCAAGTTACCATGGA